CGGTTATGAAACAAAATTATCGTATGCAAACGAAATTATTTGTTAAAATTATTTGTTAAAATTTGTTATAATTAAACGAAATTGTGAAACGAAATCAACCACCAAAACTCTCTCAATAAGAATGTTTCTCCCCCACCCCGATATATTAAGACTTTTGACACCGAAAATATGAGGGGCTACCATCAATCTGTAAATTCTCAATAGTCTGTAAAGTCTCAAAGAGTCTCAATAGTTAAGTCAGCAGGTGAGCTGTCGAAAATTTCATCTTCTTTATTTTTCGTGTAATTCGTCATATCTTTTTAATATTTTAAGTGAATATCAGCAAGCAATGTAAATTTATATTCAATTCCATTGATTTATATTCCATATGGTGCGACAAACATAAAGTGAACACGAAATTTTCAGTTCCAAAATTTAAACTGATTTCTTGACTGAACTAGTTTGACATTTACAAAGTAAAACAACGTGAATAATATTCGTAAGAAGATGGATTAACTATAGTTTCGGTAACGAACAAAATAAATAACTGGACAGATTACAATGAATGGTGTTTTCTACACTAGAGCACGCTGCAAGCTCTTGACCGCCTATACTTCCGGTTAACTGTTTTTGGTGTATTTTGAAGCCATTTGGCTCACAACGTGATCATTGTGTTTTGAGACTATCTTGAATAGTATTTCGTGTATACATTATTTGTTGCCTGATTTATTGTTTGCGTTTAAAAGAAGAATCTTTATAAGAATCATCATTTGAAAACCTGTCATTCCAAAATGTAAGAATTATCATTTGAAGAAAAAAAATCGTTATAAAACACTTCTTACCTTGTTAACAATATACCAACTTCGAAATTTGAACCTACATGATAATTTTTAAAATAAACTTAATCTCGCTGCTCGAACAATACGCTAACACTAATGTATGATGGTGCATGTCTTGCATCAAGAACAAACAATAATAAACATGTAAAAAGAGACCAAATCAGAACTGCCAAAAAAAAAGCGAATTGTAACAACCATGTCGCCTTTTTTAAAAATACATCTCTAAATAACAATTACAGACTTTCACATCAAACGCACTAAAACTACTTAATATCATTATCTTATGAAATACAGCATATTTGAGCTCAGAAATGATATAATTTATTTCCTTTATTAAAAAAGAAATTATCTGTTTGAAAATATCGCCTCGCAGAATAAGCTGAAGTAAGCCGCTGTATACTTTCTAGCAGGAAGTAGAGCAGGTTAAGAGCTTGCGATTGTTGTTGTTTATATTTATATTGAAAACCACCATCTCTTGGATGTTGTTTTCAATATGTATTCTTAGATTGCAAGCCTAAAGTGCACACAATGTAAAAATTAAAATAGATTTTCCGGGGACATTAACCCGTGTCTTCCAAAGGATAACTTTTGTTCTACTCATATTAAGAAAAGAATTCAAAACATTTAAAGCAATTAAAAATAATACTTCCAGTGGAAAAACGAGCTAAGCTGAGAATCCGAAAGGAATTGAAACAAAAGAAACAATGAAATATGAAGAAAAAAATGAGTAAATATCACAACCGAAGCTGACGTCGTCATGGGGTACCAGCTCCCGAAGTCATAAAAGCAAAATATTTTCTATCGAGAGAGCACGACCAATGTCTAAAATTGCTCTCTCTGTACCCCAAATTTAATGCTTTATGTATTTTATATTTTACTCTCTTCCTGGACTTTGACAAAACCTTTGGGGTACAGAGAGAGCAATTTTAGACATTGGTCGTGCTCTCTCGATAGAAAATATTTTGCTTTTATGACTTCGGGAGCTGGTACCCCATGACAACATCAGCTTTCACTCATTTTTTTCTTCATATTTCATTGTTTCCTTTGCACTCCTCATTACTGTACTATTACTGTACATTGTACTACTGTATGATGGTCAGCTGCAGAGCAGGAGGAACTCTGAGAAAGCATAGGGGTTGCAGAATGAGATTGACGAATTTTGAGTGTAACTTTGAATCCTGCTAAAATTCCTCATTTTAATGAAACTATGCACTAGGTATATTTCATTTTATTACTAGAATTAACTTTTTATGGACTTCATTTTAAAGGAATGCATTTCTGTAATTAACTATTTTTTTGTGCGCTGGCAGTATTTATACAAAAAAAAAGTCACTAACATTGAATTGAGATGGAAGAAATTTTGTAAATACTAAATATTTTTTTTTAATAGTGGCACTAAAATTCTGTCAAAAAAAATTTCCTTATTTTATTTGTTTAATGTTTTATAAAATGGTGTGTGTTTAAAAACGCTTAAAAATATTTCGAAATTAGTCCAGAATGTGACGAAAACACATCATGATTATAAAACCCTATAGAAGGAAAGAGTAAGATGGATTAGCGCCCAAACTGTGGAGAGAGGGGGAGTGACCTGTGCTCTCCCCAGAAATGTAACTCCCCCATTTACAGCAATTAGAAAGGAATGGTACTATAAGTATAGTAACGTTAACATTGTATAATTTGTCTAATATCAGAACTCCTCTAACCATTCGTCTGGACCCGTGGCGGTGACTATGGTAACAAGGTATAACTACACTGCTCAAAAAAATTAGGGGAGCAAGCAAAGAAAGTAAGAAAATCGTGCGAGACATCCACAGAGCTGCATGAAATGGATAGTGCATACGTATCAATGCGCGATACAGAAAAAAAGACGTAAAAACATATGGAATTAGGCTTTAATTCATGGAAACTATGGAGAGAAAAAACAAAAAGTCGATTTAAGGCAACAATTGGTTTACATGTAAACGATAAAAAAGTAATGTTTGGAAATGAGGCAGTACTGTTAATAAGGCGTGTGGTCTCCTCGAACAGCTAAAACTGCTGCACACCTGTTTCCCATGGATGCAATGATGGTATCGATGAGAGTTTGGGGAATACAGTTCCACTCCTCAAGAAGGGCAATCTCCAAGTCACGGAGAGTTAATGGAGGCCTTGGTCTCACAGCAATGCGTCTCCGAAGCACGTCCCAAACATGCTCGATTGGATTCAGGTCAGGAGAGCGCGCTGGCCATTCCATACGCTGTATTGTTTCAGCTTCCAGCATGTTCTCCACAAGACGAGCTGTATGTGATCTCGCATTATTATCTTGTAAAACAAAGGAATCTCCAATGGCTGCTGCGTAGGGTATGACATGAGGTCTCAATATCTCGTCTGCATATCTGCGGGCCGTCAAAGTACCGTTCCGAATGATATGCAGGTCCGTACGTCCACCTATGCTTATTCCACCCCACACCATCCAACCAGCTCGTCTGTAGTGTGACCTTTCACGAATGAAAGTGGGGTTATTTCGAGTTCCCCTTTCCCTCCACACCAAAACACGTCGGGTGTCACTCTCCAGACTGAATCGAGACTCGTCTGTAAACAATACATGGCTCCAATCGCGTTGCTCCTAATCTTGATGTTCAGCAGCCCATCTTCTGCTAGCCGCACGGTGGCTCGAGGTCAATGGAATGCAGACCATGGGCTTACGAGCATAGAGACCTCCCTGATGGAGCCTATTCCGTATTGTTTAAGTGGAAACTCTTCGTCCTGTTGCCACGAGAAACTGTCTTTGCAGCTGAGTAGCATTGTCTGTTCTGTTACGACGAGCTGTTAACTGTATATACCGGTCATCAGCTGCAGTTGTTGCACGTGGCCGACCTTGCCCTGGCCGACAACTCACATTTCCAGTCTCTTGGAATCGATTCCACAGCCTTGCAACGACACTTCTGCTTACTCGAACAGCGTCCGCCACNNNCATTGAAAAAATATTTTAATTTGGATGAGATAAAGATAAAAGATGAGTTGTGGATTCGTCATCCTTTTCTTTGTGATATTGACTGTATCGATGATATGAACCTTGCCAAAGATGAGCTTATTGATCTTAGAACAAAGTCCTTGCTAAAAATGGATTTCGATTCAAAAACACTCGGAGAGTTCTGGTCTTCTGTGAAAGAAGCCTACCCATTGCTTGTAAAGCGAGCTATTTCAGCTATAATTCCGTTAGCTATAGTGTATCTTAACGAAGCCGGACTTTCCACAGTTGTGACAATAAAAACAAAACATTGTTATCGATTGAATGTTGAACATGTTATGCTCGTTGCTTTGTCGAAAACCATCCCTCTATTCAATTTATTAATTAAGGAAAAGCAGCAACAACCTTCAGACTGAAAATTTTAATTTTAAATATTTTCTATACTATTGAAATAATAAATTAAATGCTAAAATAAATTAAATACTAAAAATTGATGTTTTTCTCAATTTTTTTTTCTCAGAGGGGTGGTCCGTGACTTCCTAAAAAATTTTAAAAGGGGTCCATTGTATCAAAAAGGTTAAGAAACACTGCTCTAGAGGGAAGAGAAACTACCCTCTCTGAAATGCGCTATTCTTGTTTCCATACCAGCAGACGGCCTCAGATATTGTGGCGGGGGGGGGGTCCTTCCGTANGGGGGGGGGGTCCTTCCGTAGACAAACTGTACAAAATGTTAAATATTATTAATTAAATAATTGGAATTATATTATTTTTATATTTAGTATTGGAATTATACTAAATATTAAATATTATTTATAAATAATTGTAAATATTATTGATTTAATAATTTGAAGTATTCAGTATAGGGAATGATTCCGAGAAATCATGGTCAGAAACTGAAGAACAATGTTTTATGATTTTAGCAGAAAAAACCTGTGAATTAGGTTTAAGATTTATGGTTAGAATTTCCCTATTATAAGATTTTTTTTAAATTTCTCATGATCTGGAAAATTCATTTTTCATTGTTTTCCGGATTTTGCCTCTTTTTTGTTGATCATAAGATCAGATAAAAATAAGATTTTTTTAAAATCTGATTTCATATTTTTAAATGTACACGCATTTATTGTTAGACTTTGCTTAAATTATAGATACTGCATATTTTACAAACTGGTCAATATTACTATGTTCCGTCCCCCCCTCGTTGTTTGTGAAATATAGGATATGATAATAGTGACTACTTTTTAAAATATTTTTATTGATTAAATTTTTTCAATATTTTAACAGGAATGAAATCAAATAAAAACATACTCATGTGTTACAGACATCAAAACATCACATTTATGTTTCTTTTTACAACATACAATTACAAACACAATACTACTTCCAAAAATGAAATGAGTGCATAAATAGAAAAATGATTATATGAGATGCAGGCAAAAACATGGCACAAAACTAATAACTTTAAATCTATTAAAGCCGCAATAGAAATAAGTTAAAATAATAAAAATAATTGCTTAAAAGACCAAAGATGAGAGAAGAAAAAAGCAGATTTAGTTCATAGTCGGCTGCCTTGCCAAGTTCAAAAAAGATGCTTTAGAAATTTCACAAATTCACGTTTCATTCTGTTTTTAAGCAATTGCGCATGCCCGTTAGGTATTAGTTTGAAACGCATTCCAATTGGTTGATACTAATAACTGATTGATCAATGACTGGCAGGTAATTGAAAAGTGACTTAACATTGGCATCTTTATTGTAAATACAAATTACGAAATTATTAGTTTCACTTTTATAATTTTACTCAATAATTAGTTATACTTTTATTATTTAATGCAATAATTGCATTTAAAGCTACTGAGAAACAGGAATAATTTCTTTTAATAAATCATGTCGATAAAATTTTCAAAACAAGTTCATTTTAAGTCACATGTATGTTTATACACTACATATCTCTAAGCCTTTTGTCAATTATAGCAATTAAACTGACTCATTTCATTAAAACTTAATGCATTATTAAGGTAACTGAAAGAGTAGTTATTATTAAGTAGTTAGAGTAAGATATTTGAAGGCGATTTCTAGAATAATAGAGATAATTAATTTCATTATTATTATTTCTTTTTATATTTGATTTATTTTTAATTATTTATTTTTGGCATTTTTTTTTATTTATTGATATAAAAACATCTTCAAAATTTTCCAGGTTGGTATCTTCCGAGTTCCAGTCCATGATAGCTTCATACTAGTATAGAATATCACTTCATTTATATAAAACATAAGTAATCTGTACAACACAATAAATATTTATATCTATGGTATAAACGAACAAAATGTAATGTTCGAAAATTATTCCACAACACTTCTTTCTTTTTTTTTACCAGCACATGAGGGCGAAGCACATGACGAATGCCGAAATGACAACCATTGTGCCGAAGAAGATCCAAATGAAGTTGATGAACCAGAAGACAAATCCATACATGTGGGGATTGCAGTACGTAAGTGACTTAGGATCTTGGAAATCCGCGCCATTTGCATTGTACACCCAGTAGCAAGCTGAAGAAAAAGAGAGAGGTAACAACCATTACTTGTCATCAACAGTACGCACAACTTAGTAAGATGAAAAATTATTACTACAGATAAAACACGATGTAACGAGTATTACGAGAAGTTGTTGTGACGAATTTTCAAGTAGCCCTCAAAATTTTAATATTTAAGTTACAAAAATTTCAGCTTTGAAATGACTAAAAATTTACCAGTCTTCCACTATTACGAGAAAACAATTTTTTTGAGAAAACTGCATTTTATCGGCTGTTTAAGAAAGTAGTATCTCACTATACATGTTACCGGCAAAGTGTAAATCGCCGGCATTCTGTGGAATACCAAGGCATTGTATATAATGCCGGGTGTTTTTAGGCAAGGTATGAAATATGAGAAGTATTACATACTTTCCCTAGGCATTGTATATAATACCTAGGCATTCTATAGAATGACAAATGCTATTTAGGCAAAGTATGAAAAAAACGCCCTAGTGAGGTTATTATGTAAACGATGTGCATTTCACAAAAATAAAAATTTATTCTGAAAAAATAATGAGAGTGCCATTAAAAAAAATTAAATGCGTAAAGAAAAATTAAAGTTGCACAAAACATAATTTATGCCTTTCTTATTAAGGGAAACAAAATTTTCATGTAAAAAGAAAGAAATTAAGCTACTTGTTGCAACATGGCAGGCTTGAATGACATTTTGAATTACATTTCATTATATTACGAAACGAATCGGAAACGTATTTTATACTTTGCCGGTTTCTCATTTGGCATTATATAGAATTTAATTTGCTTTTATTTTAATTTGAGGAATTTTTAGAATCGCTTTTTTTTTCGTAATTATTCCTTATCTTGCATTTTTTAGTTTATAAACAATGATTTTTATTGAAACTTAAAATTTTTTAATAAAAATTTTTGTCAAAAAACTTTTTTTTCAAAATTAAATGATACAAAATTATGGGCTTATGTATACTTTTTGCATATTTTAATGTTTGAAGTAATATGATTCATAAAACTATGGAATGTAAAGTTTAAATAGGCCTTTCATGTTAATCATTAAATTTAGTAAAACGATTTCGCAGGCATTAAGTTTTAACTCTAATAAAAAGATAAATTTTTTTTCCTGTTTATTTTCAAATATTTTTCCGATGTGTTTAGGATGTTCCTTCTCTAAAAAAAGAGATACCATTTTGTTTTCGCTTGCATAAGATAGAGTATCAAACAATTTTCTTTTTTAAATTTAATAAGTCACAATAAAGAAGGAACGTAACAATGCTACACACTACATTAAAGAGGTCTCCAGAGCAACTGAATGACTGTTCATATAGAAAACGCAGGAATTCGTTTCATACAATAACGCCCCTATAGTTCGTTGCGATCGCGAATTGTTTTTTTATAAATATTTCTGTGTCCCTTACTTAAAATTATTTTCCTGTACTGCTATTATTGCGCTTTTAATTCCAGGGTTTAAAACAAAGAGAATTGTTCTTTTTATTATCATTATTGTAATGTAATTCTGCTGCAATTAAGATTTGTAACGATTTAGAATTCAACGATCAGCTTCATGCACAATGAGATGCAAACAAAAATAGTATTTAATATACTACATCCACCCGTTTGGTCAGCGAATATATTAAATTGCTGTTGTGAACTCATCAAATTTGTTAGAACAAGAATGTAATAACAATATAAATGTTGTTTTAAAAAATTATTACTTAAGAAAATTACTTCTGTTTATCAATAGATCTAAATATTTATAATACTAATAGATGATATTTAGACACGGGAAGGGAAGGCACAAGCGTTAGCAGGTAGAATTAATTTTAATACTTATATGTTAAATGAATAATTTTAACTTTAGTAGAAAAACTGTTTTCTGCAAAAAAATAACAATTATTGCGAAGTAATCATCAGGGTTGGTGAACGGAAGCGAACAGGGGGCTTAGTCCCCTGGTTATAAGAAAAAGGTTTAAAGGAAAAACATTTTTTCTGTTCCTGGTGTCAATAGAGAAATGTAAAAAACGACCATAATTATTTTCTTGCATTTTTAACCCCGTACTATTATAAAGCAATGTGTGGGCGATCACCAACTAAGTTATTTCCTTCCAAACAAAAATTTTTCCACTATAAATAGAAATCCTGCTGCGCACTTTAAGAAAACGCTCCTGATCTATCAAACATCAGTATTTATTTCCAGATATCTTTCTATTAAAAAGCTGAATTCTATGTAATCAATGATGTAAAAACACTTCATTTTCTAATTACAGAGAAGATATATATTTTATATATTTATTTTAATTTTATATATTATTATTAATTACTAGATATATATTTTAAATCAAAAGAGCTAAGTATTCTTTTTTTTTTAATTTGCTTAGAACGGACTTTTACTGTACTTCTTCTCTGTGCTTGGACACTATATTACTACCAGTGGGCTAATTATCAAGATTGAATCCTAATTTTTTTTGTTATATCAAAAATTAAAAACTTTTATTTATTTATTTATTTATTTTAAATTTCATCACAAAACTATTTTGAATGCTTATTAATGCTTATAAATCGCACAATAGCGCAAAAAATTAAAAAAGTTTTAGTAATGTATAGATGACTTAAAATTTTCAGCAATCTTTCCGATTCTTTTATAAACTGTGAAACTGTTATTATTAATCTTTATACACTTAAATGTTATTGCCAATTTTATTGCCTTGTAAAAAAATGGAATATTGATGAACATTTAGAATTTTAATACTATTACCGATTCATATTCATCGCTAACTCGAAAATTCATCTCTGTAACTATGAAAAAATATCTTAGTTATCCTAAAACAATTGAAAAATATAGTTTTTAACGTTTTTAACGCAAAATATAGTCTTTTACATATCTTTTAAATACCGCTGAAATAATCTTTTATAATCTCTTTGTTTCTATTCATTTCTTTACGTCAGTACATCACTCCGATACGTTTTAAAGAGTGGAACGTACTTGTAATTCCGGAACTTTAATTATTAATTTTCCTTTTAAAATAATTTATTTTATCATTAAAAAAAGTTTGAGTATAATCAGCTCATAATACTAATTTGAAAGCTAACTTTGCAAATAGGCGAGATTAAAACAGTTAACAATGAACAACTAATTCCCGTTTTATTTTATGACGTAGTGAAGTTAATTGCTAAACGACGACATTTGCCTCATTTTCATCAAAATCTAAACAAATACTGGTTTTAAGGCCCGCTTGATCCTCTACAAACGGGGCTTGTTAAGTAATAGAGTCGGTTGTACCTCTATCCTGTCTTTCCCCGGTACATATATTAACATAAAATAGTGGTAATATGTATTAGTACTTTGATTCAGTGGTGTCACCTGTTGTCGAACTTCGTAATTAATTTCAAATATAGGAAAGATTAAATAAACTAGTTTCCTAAGCAAAGTGAAGTAAGCATGCGCGTCACGATACTGTAGCTCACAAATGGATTTTTAAAATTGTCAGTGATTTTTGAGTTGTCCTGTACACACATTAATATATACTAATATCGATAGATTCTAATATTAATATATTCTAATGTTAATATATTCTAATATATTAATATATTCCATTATATTGATATATTCTATTATATTAATATATTCTAACAATCTAATATTAATTAATATTAATATAAACTAGCACTTTGGTTCTGTAGTGCCATCTGTTGAGGAACTTTAAAACTAATTTTATAGCTAGGTGAGATTGAACAATCTAATTTCCTAAGCAAAGGGAAGTAAACCATATATTTTACTATACTTCGATTGTTCTTAAATGAACTTTTAAAATTGTCAGACTTTTTTGGGGGACATATATTAATATAAACTAGCATTAAAGAGGTTTGAAAGATAGTTACTAGCAAGGAACCATCCAAGCATGAACAAGTTGAGAACGAGGTTAATCCATCCAATGACTGTGTGTCTTTTAGGAATACCGGTTTCAGACAATCTCTTGAATCTATCCACAAAATTGATGACGTTGCTGAGCATGGCAACACATCCGGCAACAATCAGACTGATTGGTATCATCTTCTGAGCAGGACAATCATGGAAATATTCAGCTCCTGTTTTCAATGACATGATTTTTAAATATATACGTATATATGTATGTATTGATAAAGGTACATGGTATTCCTCAATTGCTTCCCTTAAAGATGTTTTTCAAAGCTTTGGCCCGAAAAAAAATCCATAGTTTAATCGCTTTTACTCTAGAGGCTAAGTTGTAATTTTAGACTATACATATCATAGTTCCGTAAAAATTTATCCGGGCTTTAGAGAGGACAAATAGTTTAAATGTCTAAAAATTATTGTACTTTTTTTTTTAAAAAAAAATTCCAATTTAGCGAGATTTTTTTATGAATATGAAGATCAAAATTAACGAATAATTTTCAATTTTCGCAAACTTGTATATAATCCTAGGTTAATCAAAGTAGTTGCCAGGAATCGGTACAAACTACGGCTTTTTGTATCGCACTACTCGATACACTACTTTTTTTAAGCATCACACTGCACTACAAACTACAAAAAAAGGTAGCGACTACAGTAGTTTCGCTACTTGTCGTGCGCAAATTCGACCACTGGGTTTTTATCACTTTTCAGTTCATTTTATCACTTATCAGTTTTATCCGAGACTGATCTTGATGCTTTTAATCTTAAAAACAGCATCAAAGATATTAAATATTTCAATATACATGCTACCATGAATGACCGAAATCAAGAGAATGTCATTTCGGACATTTACCAAAGCGACTATGAGATTGTCAAAATTCATTGGTGGAAGACCACCCATTTCAATCATTCACATTACCCTATAGATATGAAACCATTGAGGAAACGTAGTGAGAAACAACATTGTGCAAGAGAACATTTTAGTTAATAATAGAAAAATTAAAAGATTTTTATCTCAACAATATTATGATTTTGTGTAGTTTTTGTTACAGTGTTCAGATTACGGAAATTTGTAAAGCATCTAACTGGAAACAACACATAGAAAGATATCAGTCCTCCAATTTTTTTATATGCATAATCCTGGTAGCACAATTTTCCTAGTCAATCTGCAGCATCCAAATTTGTCTGCTAAACAGCGCTGTCAGACAATTATTGTATGGTACTGTGAATGACCGAAATTATACTCGTATACCCCAAATAAGTGTTTATTTTGAATTTAAGCCGCATACATTGTCTATATATGATACTGTGAATGACCAAAATTGGTGATTGTTGACTTCCACCGGTAAATATTGACAATCACATAGTCGCTTTGGTAAATGTCCGAAATATATACTAGGTCTAGTTAAGTGCCACTGCCCGGTATATATTTGCTCGGTATGCCCTACATCAATGTTTTTTTAATGTCAAGTGCCACTACCCAGTATACATTTAAAAAAGTATTCCGAACACTGATATCAAATAGGATACAACAAATACATTTGGGACATTCACCAAAGTCGCTATGTGATTCTTGACATTCACTGGTGAAAGTCGACATTTTCTTGATTTTGATCATTCATGGTAACATATACAGCAAAATGTAAGGCAGATAAAAATGTATGTCGTTAAAAATTTTAATTTTTCAATTTTAATACCTTTGAAAAATGGAACAAACTCCCATACTACCTTTAACCGAATAACTAAACTTTTCGAAAATTAATACAAAATTCATTTTTCTTAATGTCAAGTCTAAAAAAGGTGAAATAATTCTTTCCTTCGTTGAGGATCGGAAAAATCTTTTATGTTTCATTTTATCTTTACTTCTTCTCTGTAATTCTTAAGTCGCTTCTTAAATTTAAAAAAAAAATAATAATAATAACCTGAAGATGCTGTTGTAATCTTCAGAAATCCTTGCAGTTGGTGGATGGTTTCTGTTACCCAGTATATATTATAAATGAATAGATTGCGTAAATAAGGATTTAGGAATTGCCGATCACTGGTCTAGTGGTCACTGTACTGGACTACTTGGCCAGTGATTGCGGGTTCGCATCCTACCGTAGGTATGGAGGAAACTTTCTCCCTCTCTGTGTTCTATGTCCTTTCTTCTGTGTGATTGTAACGCGACCAATAAACGGGTTTGTGGTTGTATGACGTGGGCGACGCTGCTCTACCGCCGTGGCTTAGCCACAGATGCCCAATGGGTAATGAGAAGAGAGTAGCATTTCTGAGGCTAATGGGCCATTAAAATAAATCAGGAATTTAAGCAAAGCTAACCCCTTCCCTTACCAACTTTTTCGAAAAAATTGCAAAAAATCAACATATTATTTTATTTTATTTATAAATACAAGGAACTAAAACAAAACATAATGCACAAGTTCTAAGTTGAAATGTTAAATTTTTTTAGGCATAAAAAATATTTAATTTACCATCAGTTTACTATCCCAAATTATCTCGCGCAAATGAAAAAAAGTTAAATATTAGTCTTTGCATATGTTCACATCTTTATAATCTGAAAAACCATCTGCGTTACTTTCACTTTCGCTCGCGAACGCCATTTTTTTACTCTTTTTTTCTATGTAAATTCATCTACCAATACAATTGCACAAAACACGTCTGCAGTCCCACAAATAACGAGACTCACAAGCAAAAATTGACAAACTTCCAATCACAGCGAATTATTGTTATTTTTTGTTTTGCTTCCAACCGAATGAAAACGTGATAAAACAAAACGTATTGACGATTTCTGCTATGCCCGAGTTTACTCGGGATAGTAAATATTTGCAATGTATACATACCCGAGTTAACTCGGGATAATCAGGGAAGCGGTTAATATAAGTTGAAACATACTATTTGAAACACTAGCAAGATTATGTCATATAACTCAATATAATTAATGGTTTTAAGATATCAACTAATTATACTTACCAATAACAATCATGACGATTGGAACTGTAATGATGACGATGATAACCAGCGTCCATACCACTGAAATAAAATGGTGATTTTGAGATTAAAGTAAAACTTAAAAGTCATCTATGATTTAAAATATAACCACAACACTAAATAAATAAATCAACTATGGAAATACTAGCCACCTGCGGCGTGTTTCCCTTGTCAATATTTAACATAGATTTTTATATTACCGCATGTAATAATTGCATTTTAAAAGATTACCTGAATTAGTGTTTAATGTTTTCTAATACTGAATGATGAGCTGTGGTGGCTCAGGGGATAGAGCGTCGGCCTTCAAATAAGGTGAACTTGTTCGAATCCCAGCGATAACTGATTTATACGAATTCTGCATCCGTCTAGCACCGACCACAGTGCTGACGTAAAATATCTTCAGTGGTAGACGAATCATGGGTTAGAGTCCCCTTGCCGTTAGGCTAACCGTGGGAGGTTTTCGAGGGTTTCCCTCTCAATGTAACGCAAATGCTGGTTAGTTCCATCAAAAAGTCCTCCACGAAGGAAAATTTCTCCCAATACTTGATCCAGGTGTTCGCTTGTCTTCTGGGTAGGAATCAATTTACAAGGCTGCAGAGTTGAACATTGATAGTCGTAAACTCAACATTGGGTCTGCTGTTCGACACTAGTTATCATTATAATTTTAATATTATAATATGCCATTGCATACGAAAAAAACGAGGGCTTCTAGCAAAATATTTTTCTTTCAGAACAACTTTCTGCAGATTACACGGGTTTGAGAAACTCTACACGCTATACCTAAAAACGATATTACGCGTTTTAAACATGAGTTTTACTAAAATAGAATGCACCTGGTGGTCGAAATTTGAACTAATATTTTATTGCAGATTTCATTTCCGTATACAGTGCATATCGAAGTTTCAGTGGCATTTGTAAATTAAAACAGACTATGTGTCGATCTTAATATATGGAGTATTACCTGCTATAGATAATATCAATTAATTAAAGAAAGAAATAATTCCACGTTTTTATATTTTAGGAGAAGCAGGAGGGCAAGCATTTATTTTAGTGTCGTTGCCCTATGTAAGTCACATTGAGTTATTTCATGGTTTTCTCGGAACGCTGGAAGAAAGGAATGCCACATTTAGAAAAGATAAAATAGGTAAAGTTTTTAAATTACAGTATGCACAAACCACAGAAAACAATTAAATACTCTTAGTAAATTTAGGTCTAGTCTTAGATCGAATCTTCACATACTAAGACTGAATCTTAGTGATTTANTACTTTCACTTTCGATCGCGAACGCCATTTTTTTACTCTCTTTTTCTATGTAAATTCATCTACCAATACAATTGCACAAAACACGTCTGCAGTCGCACAAATAACGAGACTCCCAAGCAAAAATTGGCAAACTTTCAATCACAGCGGATTATTGTTATTTTTTGTTTTGCTTCCAGCCGAATGAAAACGTGATAAAACAAAACATATTGACGAATTCTGCCATGCCCGAGTTTACTCGGGATAGTAAATATTTGCAATGTATACATACCCGAGTTAACTCGGGATAATCAGGGAATCGGTTGATATAAGTTGAAACATACTATTTAAAACACTAGCAAGATTATGTCATATAGCTCAATATAATTAATGGTTTTAAGATATAAACTAATTAAACTTACCAATAACAATCATGACGATTGGAACTGTAATGATGACGATGATAACCAGCGTCCATACCACTGAAATAAAATGGTGATTTAGAGATTAAAGTAAAACTTAAAAATCATCTATGATTTAAAATATAACCACAACACTAAATAAATAGATCAACTATGGAAATACTAGCCACCTGCGGCGCGTTTCCCTTGTCAATATTTATGCATGTAATAATTGCATTTTAAAAGATTACCTGAATCAGTGTTTAATGTTTTCCAATACTGAATCATGAGCTGTGGTGGCTCAGGGGATAGAGCGTCCGCCTTCGAATAAGGTAAACTTGTTCGAATCCCAGCGATGACTGATCGATACGAATTCTGCATCCGTCTTGCACCGACCACAGTGCTGACGTAAAATATCTTCAGTGGTAGACGAATCATGGGTTAGAGTCCCCTTGCCTTTAAGCTAACCGTGGGAGGTTTTCGATTGTTTCCCTCTCAATGTAACGCAAATGCGGGTTAGTTCCATCAAAAAGTCCTCCACGAAGGAAAATTTCTCCCAATACTTGATCCAGGTGTTCGCTTGTCTTTCGGATTGGCTTGGAAATTACAAGGCTACGGTGTTGAATATTAGTAGTTGTAAACCCAGAAATTGGGTCGGGCATTCAACGACGGTTATAAAATAAAATAAAATTCCCTATTCAAACATAGCTCTATAAAACTACACAAAAATAGCTATTATGACAGCTTCTTGTCTCTCAATAATTGCCATTTTAAACAAAGGGGAATCATTTTTAAATTAGTCAGTAGGGAACAAATCCGGATAACATGGCGGAGGAGACGGAACTTCTTGCAACAATTCAATCAGTTTTTGTTTTCTCTTTTGAGTGCGTTTTCTGAAAAAAAGATGTTCCGATTTATCATTCAGAAAAATAACTTTTACCGATGAGATGGTGACAAAAATCAGATGTTTAATCCAATTTGTTCTGTTACAATCTCTTTGAATACTTCAAAAAAATGGATTTTTGTGAATAAATAAATAATTTAGAGAAGAAAATTTAATGGTAAAAAAATAAAAATCAGATGTTTAATCCAATTTGTTTTGTTGCAATCTCTCTGAATTCTCTCTCTCAAAAAAAGGGGGATTTTTGTGAATAAATAAATCATTCAGAGAAACAAAATTTATCGTGAAACAAAAATCAGATGTTTAATCCTATTTTTTCTGTTATAATCTCTTTAAATACTTTAAAAAAATGGATTTTTGTGAACAGTAAATAAAAAAAACAACCTCATTTTATATGAAATGACAAATCAGAAAAAAAAATGGTTGCTGATATAAATAATAGTTGTGAATAAATAAATCATTCAGAGAAACAAAATTTATCGTAAAACAAAAATCAGATGCTTAATCCTTTTGTGAATAATAAATAAAAAAACAACCTCATTTTATATGAAATGACAAATCAGAAAGAAAAAATGGTTGCTGATATAAACGTTAAAGCTATAAAACTTACGTGATCCGATGAGAAGTGCGAAGAAGGCAAGACAGAAGCTGCAGCATCCGATGTTTTCTTCTTTTGCCTTCTTAACTTGTGACAGAAATGACTGGGGTACAGCTTCTGAATATAAAATGAAAATTAGAAGGCAGCAGAAAACAGTGATGATCGTTTGAAAAAGATTATCACAAAAATTAAAATTGAATTTGTTTTTATTTAATGATCAATACTGTTTCCCAAGTCGAAATTTTTGATGGTTTTCCATTGATGGAACAACATATTCTTGATGGTAACCATCAATAATTTCATCATGAACTATTATATTTCTGATGGTAATCACCATAAGTAACCAACACCCTAATGTAGGAATTCGGACAGATTTATGATGGTCCAACGGAAGAATGGAAACTTGTTCTGATAGTTTGTTCATGCTGAATCAGCAGAAATTTCCATCATAATTTCTAAGAAATCAAAAGTTAGAACGATCAATGAACAACCATCATCCCAATGTAGGAATTCAGACTGATTTTTGATGGTCCAACATAAAAAAGCAAATTGTTTTGATGGTATATTCGTGAGAATCAAAAAGAATTCCCTTTAAACCATCATGGAAATGTATAGTTGGAACCATCAAGTACCATCACGATCCATGAGAATACAAACTTCTCCTGATAGTTAATCATATAGTATCGAAGTAGCATTTTTTATCATGGTAAAGGCCTGGTTTCTTAGGACAGAACGCCGTCAGCTGGAAATCAGCGCTAACCTCTGATTGGTCCATTTGTGAGTTTGATAGTATGCGTCATCGGGTTCAAGATGAGCTTTCGATGACGTACACTATCAAACTCACAAATGGACCAATCAGAGGTTAGCGCTGATTTCCAGCTGACGGCGTCCTGTCCTAAGAAACCAGGCCTTAAGATGGAAGTTTGCTTTCATATCAAAAACCACGAATGCATAATGGAAAATGTGGGATGATGGTGACTATCAAATCATGTTGGACCATCATGAATCGCCCTGAAACTCACATAAGCCATCAAAATGATTTGAGGAGACCATCAAGAACTTTGACTTGGGTTAAAGTAAAATTCTGTTTACAGCAAGTGAGTAGTATTAAGATTGACATTTTTAAAATGTGACTCAATGTGTTCTTTTTCTAAGTTAACTCCATATTTTATGATTTTGAAGGTTTACGTTACCATTGCCTCCTCCTCCTGTTCCTCCTTCAATTGCTTGATAATCACTTTTTCCAACCTGCATTGAAATGAAATAAAATTACTGAATGAATTAGAAATAAAAAGAAAAGGAATTCAGAGATAAAAAAATCAGTTTATTTCATGCCAACGGTAAATAGTAAAACTCTAAAATCAAGTTTGAATTTCATTCTTGGTTTTAGTATTATTTCAGTATTTTTTCTTAAACAAAAAGTATTTTATTATATTTGATGAGTTAAATAATTGTTGAAGTATGTTATATGTTAACATTAAATATTTAATTACTTTATATTCGCTGTGTCTGATAAATTCTTTTTTTTATTTTTTATTACTAATGCCCACCTGTGTTAACATCCGTCAATTCAGGCATTTACAGGGCGATTTTGGTGACCTCTTTTTCAGGGGCACCATATTAGGTGGGTTAACATCGCTCCCACAGCGAGGACAGCTAGTACAGAGAAGGAAAGAACATCCATCCATTGCCCGGGATTCGAACCCAGAACCTTTCTGATACAAGGACAGTTCCCTGCCCCCTACACAGGCCGGTCGGCTGTCTGATGAATTCAATAAAGAACATTACGGGGTAGCAAGCGTAGTCCACGTCACTAAATTTATACTTTTATTGTTGTCTGATACCACGTGCCTTTTTTACTTTAATTCCTACTTTTAGTTCACACTCTCCCTATATATCTTGTTCCAATTTTCAATCGTTAATGAAATACTTTTTATTCATCCACTCAACTTCAAATACATTTTTTTAAAAATTTTATAGTGAATGACACTTGATGTTAATACAGTTTTTTTTTTCAAATATTAATTAATTCATTAAGTTTAACTAATTAATTTTAGTTTTATATGGGAGAAAAAATTATAATCATTTAATAAAAAGTAACTAAAATAAAAAATTTTTTTGTTGACCTAAGTAGGAATTGACTTCAAAATTTTTTTTTTTAATATTACTTGTTTAATTGTTTAATTATAAAAGTATAGGAGAAAGAGACCCTGGAAAAAAGAATTTTAATTGGAATGTTCAATATTTCCATGCTCAAAATTTTGAACTAAATTTTGATCAAAAATTTGAATGCTCAAAATTTTGATATTTCAGAATCCATCAATTTGTAGTGGAAAGATTCATAAGTAAGGAGAATTTTTTAACAATTCACGTATTTCAAAGTTTTAGTGTATATGTTACCGAGAATGACCGAAATCAAGAGAATGTCGACTTTCACAGGTGAATGTCAACAATCACATAGTCACTTTGACGAATGTCCAAAATATCTGTTATATCAGATTGGATATTAATTTATTCTTTGATATTATTATATTTATTCGATATTTTAATATCTGCTGAGGATAGATTAGGAGAAACAGTGTTCGGAGTACCGGTTAAATGCATGCCGGACAATGGCACTTGACCTTAAAATAACATTGAATTAGGGCATACCGGGCAAATGTATACCGGGTAGTAGCACTTAACTAAACTAGACCTAGTATACATTTCGGATATTTACCTGAATGACTATGTGATAGTCAACATTCACAGTAGGAAGTCAACAACCACCCATTTCTGTCATTCGCAGTAACATATATAAATATTTTATCAGAAGTAAATAAACATTCGAATTTCAACTCGTGAAACAAAAACAAAACAGAAAAAATGTTTTCTAATGAGGCAACAAACTAAAAATAATATGGTTTGTAACAAATTTAAAAATAAGTTTTCTAATAATTTCAAAAATTTAAATAATCCTTTTTTATTAAAAAAAAAGGGTTCACGAGGACATCTTTTTTGTATAAAGCTCCCTAGAATAGCTTATATTTTGTGTAGCTTTAGCTATGTATTAAAGCCAGTATACATTTGCCCAAGGAGAAAACTAACTCTAAAGGAGACATTACTCTAAAGGAGAAAAACTGGCGAACAAGTGTCAAAAGTAGAGAGAAGTGGATTCGAATTCAAAGGAAGGCACTGGCCCACCCTGGGTTGTCTAGCCAGATATGATGATGATGATACATTTGCCCTTTATGCTCTATATAAATGTTTTTTTAAGGTCAAGTGCCACTCGCTAGCATGCATTTACTCGGTTTTCCAAACACTGATGTTTCTCCTAATATATCCTCAGCTATAAAGTTATATTTAACAGAATTTCATTATCCAAGAATTTAACACTAGATTGCTTACGGAAGTCATTTTGACTGCTTTTAATTTCAATTAGAAAAACAATAATGTATATAATGACACTATTTTTTAGAATTTTGCACAATATATAATTTTTTTAATGTTGATATTTACTAATAGCTTGTTATATAACTGTAAATAATATAAAAAATATAAAAAATATTAAAAATTAATTTTAAACAAAATTCTTTAAACATTATTTATTCCTTTACAATGCAGTCATTTTGACTGCTTTTGGGCAAATATAGGTATATACTAAGTTTCAGTTTTTATAGTGTTAATAACATAAATACCAGAAAACTGTTTAGTCTGCATTAGATTTTAATGATTTGAAATGCAAGCGAGAGGTGTTATACACTATGCCTGACAAAATTTAAAAAAAACCCGAGCTGCCTTGAAAAGGGTGGTGAATCCAGTGAACATTGTTAATTACCTGACGAAGTTTAACCCCGTAAAATATTTTACAAAAAATGGAAACTTTGTAATGATTATACGTAAAGGATAGAAAAACGTAAAAAATCCTAAATATTTATCGAAAGAAATTAAATGGATTTCACTACATCAGTGAGAAATTATGGCGAATCACAATGCTGTGCAAATCAACAACAACCTAAGATTATAACTTATTATCGTATTTCTTGAACTTGATTTTACGATAAAGTTATTCAACTTAAAAGGAAACATAATTAAACTTATGCTGACATGAACTACATTATGATTTAACTAAATATCATCGAGCTTAAAAGTGAAATACATAAAGACGAGATTTTTCAGTTTTAAATTATTTCGTTTTTCTGTTATAAAATGCAAAGAGTTGACACTGAAGACGTCTATTTCGTTAGATAAATATTTCACTTAGCAAACGATATTTAATACATTCTTTTAAAATAAATAAAACTGAATATCATCGAGCTTAAATGTGAAATACATAAAAACGAGATTTTTTTAGTTTTAAATTATTTCGTTTTTCTGTTATAAAATGCAAAGTGTTGACACTGAAGACGTCTATTTCGTTAGATAAATATTTCACTTAGCAAACGATATTTAATGCATTCTTTTAAAATAAATAAAACTAAATATCATCGAGCTTAAAAGTGAAATACATAAAGACGAGATTTTTTAGTTTTAAATTATTTCGTTTTTCTGTTATAAAATGCAGAGTGTTGACACTGAAGACGTCTATTTCGTTAGATAAATATTTCACTTAGCAAACGATATTTAATATTTCTTTTAAAAGAAAAAAAACATTTTATGGAACTTATATAAAAATACGCACATGATGTGATTAACTATAGATAACATGAGAAAAAAAAGAGATGTAACTCACCCCTTGTTCATTGGGAACAAGTTTATCCGTGCTCTGATACATGACGTTTTAAGTCACGAGGTTCTTTCTAATGATAATGACAAGGCAAAGATAACAGGTGTATCAACAGCTATTCTTCTTCTGTGTTACCTTGAATACGTTTCGTCTATTAAATGAACAAAAATATTTATAAATACAGACAGCAGTTCATATTGCAGTTAAACGGTTTCCATAAATAAGGGTATATGAGGGAGCCCAGTGTTTTCTTCAATCTAAGAATACATTGCTTTACACTTTTTTTTTTGGTAATGATATTTTGTAAACATTAATTTTTCATCTAAATTCTAATAACCAGGTGTAAAAACGCTTCATTTTCATTTTCTCTCTTTTTCATGAATGTTGAAAACTTTGACTTCAACTTCAAAAATAATGTAGCCTGCTAATATGTTATTTTTGAAGTCCTAGAATTACGTACTGCTTTTGCAAAATCAGAAAAAAAACTAGATATATTTTTGCTTTGTTAAATAAATCATTATTAGAAATATTAAAAAGTTTTATTAGTTTACCGGAAGTAAGAAAGGCATTTTGCATTTTGAAAATTACCATTATTTGTTATTTTTTTCCTTGATTTATGTATAGGATCAATATTAATAAATTTTGTTTCGATGGTTAAAGTATGAAAAGTATTATTAAAAATTCAATAAACGTAATTTCTTTTCGTTCATGACTAATATTTGAGATCAATATCAATAAATTTTGTATTCATACCAGAAGTATGAAAAGTATTATTGTATGATTAAAAAAATCACAATTGATTGTTGCTTTTTTGTTGATGATTTCGAAATAGCACTAATAAACTTTTTATTCCTAAACCAAAAGTTTGGAAAGCAATGTGCAATATTCAAAAAGTCTTATTCACTATTTCTTTGTTAACGATTAATATTTATGAGCACATTATCCAGGTAATTCCTAGATCACCTAGGTAATTTGAGAACTGAAACTTTTTATTTTCGCTTTTTTAACGAATTACTCTAGTTATTCCTCACTTTAGCTAGATAATTTGTAAAATAACTGATTTCTGCAACGATTTTAAAACATTTAATTCTTTGTATTACAGTTTTTGAAGTGATTGATTCTAGTAACTCATGAGTTGAAAGTTAAATTGTTGCAGTTGATTGTTTAGATAAAGAAAAAAAAACATTAATTTAAGAGCTCAGAAACGCTGTTGTTGCCCTAGAAAACTTCAAAGAGCACATAGTAGGTAATGTGCACATTATCTGGGTAATTCCTAGATTACCTTAGCAATTTGAGAAATGAAACTTTTTTTTGGCTTCTTTAACGAATTGATCTAGTTATTCCTCACATTAGCTAAATACTTTGTAGAATAACTGATTCCTATATTTTAGCGATAACATCTACAGTCTAACCTCGATTTAACATACTTCGATTTAACGAATTCTCCGGTTTAACGAATATTTTCTCTGTCCTGACAAAAAGGGTGCTAAAATCAACATTTAACAAATCATTTAACAAATTTTCAGCTTTGATTTAACGAACGACAATAGCTGGAAAAAATTCTCACATAAAACTAAAACTGTTAAAATTTTTAATATTTCCCACCCTAATCCAAATGTGTAATTATATGTATGCATTAAGTTTCAAAAGCAAGTAGCAATTAATAATTAAAATCATTTTAAAGTCGATTCCCTAACACATAATTTATAATTTTTAAGCCCGTAGTAAACAATAACCACTTTTTTCATACCTGAATATCTAAGGGTATTTTGCATTGATATTTTTATACCATAATCTTTAAAGAAAATTGATATCCGATTTAACGAATGTATTTGTTGATCCCAATCAATTCGTTAAATCGAGGTTCAACTATACTTTGGTTTTAAATAAGTCTTAAAAATGCTTTGTAAGGAAACCAACAAATGTAATACCGAATCTTAAAACTATGTATACAAAGTGGACAATCTGCACTCACCTGTAGTTGCGTCGTTGAATAATCCAAAGGCTTGTTTGAACTCCCCGACCTGCGCATCAAATATTTATAGTGCTTCCATTAAAGTATAACGTTGTTCAACATAACGTAATGAATCAAATTAGATTTCTAAAATTGCATTTTTTTCACTAAAAGAGTAGCATACGTCAGATCACGGATTTTGATTGTTATCTTGTTTTTGATTTTATCGCCTGATATCATATCATGCATGTTTTATTACACCACTTATTGACATACACCGTCAAACTACTATGACTGTTTTTTTATTTATTTTCGGTTTCTTCACCATCATTTACTTTAACATGCAAATTATGAAGCGTACCCGTGTTTATAAATATCATCACGTGAATTGTGTTGCGAATTTCAATGGACTGTAATAGATAAAGGATCTTAACTCACTCTCCAATTTTTGAAGGTCCCTTATGTAAACAATAACCTAAAAGTCTAGTTAGGAGTTATAAAAATTAAACTAATAACTATTGTGATTTCATAATAAAAATGATGTTAATTACTGTTGTAACTATATCTTATTTCAGAACCGTCGTTGAACAGCCGACCTAATTTTTTGTGTTTACGACTACTTAATCTTCAACTCCGTGGTCTTGTAGTTTTAGAACCACTCCAGAAAACAAGGGAATTCCTGGATCAAGTATTGGAAGAAATTTACCTACGTAGAAGACTTTTTGATAGAACTAACCCGCATTTGCTTTGCATGGAGAAGAAAAACCACAATAACCTTCCACGGTTAGATTGACGGCAAGGGGACTCGAGCCCATGATCCGTCTACCACTGAGAATATTTTTGGTCTGTGCGAGCTGGATGCGAAATTCATATCGACCAGTCAACGCTGTGATTCGAACCCGGTTCCCCTTAGTGGAAGGCAAACGCACTATCCCCTGAGCCATCACGGCTCCTTACAATTGTAATTAAAAAATAGTTAACTAACTAACGGAGGCTTGTTCAGAAAAGACAAGGCAAAGAGTAGGACTAGGGCAAAATTAGGACATTTTGTGACTAGCCTGGGGCTTATGATAGCATTTTTTTTGGCTCCTTTTAAAAACTCTTTCAAAAACGGGAAACGATTGAAAACACTGCTTAAATAAATTATATCATTTCTTTTGGATAATTTCTAAGGCAGGTTTTATTTGTAAAATAAATGAAAAGTTTAAGCGTGAAAAAAGTAGTTTTTAGAATATTTTAAAATATTTAAGAAATAGTAATGGGGTACATTTGTTCCGTGAACAACCGAAATCAAGAAAATGTCGACTTTCACCGGTGAATGTCTACAATCACATAGTCTCTTTGGTGAATATTTGTTATATCCGATTTGAAATTAATTTATTCGATGATATTATTTTATTAATTTGATATTTTAATATCTGCTGTGGATAGATTAGGAGAAACATCAGTGTTCGGAGTACCGGTTAAATGTTTACTGGGCAGTCGCACTTGACCTTAAAAAACATTGATGTATGGCATACCGGGCAGTGGCACTTAAGTAGACCTAGTATAGATTTCGGACATTTACCAAAGCGACTATGTGATTGTCAACATTCACAAGTGGAAGTCAACAACCACCGATTTCGGTCATTCACAGAAGCACATTTTCGAAGGAAAAAAAGAAGACAGGCAGTTTGTTATATTTTGTCACCATTAACAATGCCCTTTTGTACTAGTAACACTAAATAAAATGTCAGTTGTAATGGAACTCTACCTAGAAATATGGCAAAATATCATTTCCTTAGAAAATGAGACTTTTCTCAAACTCAACTATTCTAAACACTAGTTTATAATAAACTAGAGGATTTATTTGTAGAAAAGATTTAATGAATGAAAATTAAATGCATAAAAAAAAGTTGAGCGAAAATCTGTTAAACCGACGAATTCCTTCTTTAAAAATTTACAATAAAGCGACGGTTATCTAAGTTTTATTGACTTATTTTCTCGTGCAATACCGTTATTATTTTCAATTGAAAGCTCATGAAATATTAACTCTTTTGATTGCCAACTTTTGTATTAAAATGCTTTATTAAATGCTTAATTGATCTAATGTATTAAAATGCCAACACTTAAATTTTTTTGCATAACATTAAAATTAACTTTTGAATTCATTTTTTTTTCCTGACAAATTATCAATATTTGAGAATTTAGAATACGCCGAAAGTAATTACCTAAAAATGAAATTAATATTTATGAACTAATGTCTGCCCGATCGACCAAAATAATATTGTACAGATTGTGATTGCCCATCCCCATGTTTTATTTTATTTTATAACCGCCGTTGAACAGCCGATCCAATTTTTTGGGCTTACGATTACTAATAACAAGCTTAAGCCCGTCCCGCCCCCGTAAGGGGGCATCCAGGGGCACTCCGAAAGTTCGAAGTGAGCGTAACAGTTCAATTACATGAGCAAACATATTCAAAATTTTCAAATTAGAGTTTTAACAAATAGGTGGAATATTGAATATGAAATCCAAAAAACAGTGCTACTTAGAAATTAACTAAGCAAACAAACATTACAAAGAAAATAAACAGTAACAATCAGAAGAGATATTGATGTCGCATCTTCAGTAGGGGTGCAAAGTTAATAAAAGGAAACAATTTCGCATGGAAAATATAGGATGTTTGTAACTCAGAATATAATTACGGCTGGCACAACAGTACTAAAGGTATCAAATTCCAGTAATTTTTTTTCTTTTTTTTTTAAACAGAAAGGATTTACGATTACTAATGTTCGACTCCGTATCCTTGTAGTTTTGAACCTAATCCAGAACACAAGGGAACTCCTGCCTTAAGTATTGGGGGAAATTTGCTTTCGTGGAGGATTTTTTGATCTAACTAACCAGCATTTGCATCACACGGAGAGGAAAACCACGAAGACTTCTCATGATTAGCTTGACGGCAAGGGATCTCTTAACTATGATCCGTCTACCACTAAGGATATTTTACGTCAGTCTTGTGGTCGGTGCAAGACAGATGTGGAATTCGTATCGATCAGGCATCGATGGGATTCGAATCCGGTTTACCTCATTAGAAGGCGAACACTCTGAGCCCTCATTGCTCACTTCCCCATATTAATAGCACTTTGTCAGCTCTATTGTGACGTATGGGACGTATATGTGACGTATGTGACATAGTATGTGACGTATTGTGACGTAAAGAATCCATATTTTATAGGACAAGAGCCAGAATCCTCCTAAAAAAAGATATATTTATTTTTAAAAAAAATTGTTCTTGATTTCGTTACTTAAAATATCGTTCCCCCACTGCTATAAATTCATATTACATTATCCATAGTGTCCACACCTCAAACCATTAAAAATTGCACTTAGTACGTGAAAAACCGATGATTGGATCAAAAGTTATTCACATTGCAAGGTTCGAAAATTATATCGATCTGCAACATGAGTAAAATAGAATTTAATGATTAGAGCTTGCAAAAATTATGATCACGCATTAAATATTTAAACAGAACTAACGGAATGAGGCGGATAAACGATGTATAAGTTGTATGACAAAATAAATTATATTTAATAAGTTACTGACGTTACAAAACGTTACTGAATTTTATTGTATATATAAGATTTAGTGAGTCAAAAGTAGCTTATTTTTTATACCCTTGGATAAGTTTATTCTTATTCATTCCAACAATACGAAGAAAAAAAACTATATTGTTGTTAATTCCTTTTCATAACTTTTTACATAATTTTATGAAATTTAAAAATTTAGAGAACTGGTAATTTAAAAAATATCGTTTCCACTTATTTTTATTCTCAATTGCTGTTTTGTTTTGCCTTTCTGCGATATAAAGTTAGGAGGATTATGCACCAATAATTTTCTTTAGCTATTGTTGTTGCCTTATGACACTCGTCAATATTTACAAGCCTATTTTAAAGCAGATGGGCTCACTTTTTCTTATCTTCCAGTGGTGCCATCTATGACCGAGAATTCGACTTCTGCCACACGCATAAATCACAGCCCGTTTTACAAGGAGGACACATTCGTAACTCCGAATTGAACCAGAGCACGATCAATCTCCGATCCAGCACCTCCAGAGGTATTGATTTGTTATGGGAATTTTTGACCCTGACAGATTTAGAGTGCACCAATCACCATATTGCTCACGGGGAATCTTCAGCCGGCCGGGATCAAACTCACGACTTCCTAGACATTGGCCCTACAAATCAAGCTGTATCCCGGGCGGTTTTTTTAAATGCATAGTGGAATAGCCCAAACAAAGACATGCGATACTTATGCTAGTCTAATTTACTGTTTTTAATTAAATTGAAATGAAAATTTTGGTTATCTTCTTAATTTCTCTCTCTTTGTAAATACGTCTTATCTAAGAATGTTTAGCTTTGACATAAATTACATTCGGGCATGTAATTTGTGAATTAGCCTGCCCAACAGTGTACGTAAAAGTTTTGTTAATTTTTGACCTCTGTCAGTTTTTTTTTTTTTTCATTTTAAAAGATTTTTTTCTAACGAAATATATGAAACTCAGAAATGCAATGAAATCTTAATAATTTGTTAAAATAAAGACAACTCGGAGATGTAGTGTGGCCAGAACTTCCCGATACCACGTTAAGTGAAATGTGGTTTAAGAATTTCAATGAAGAAAATACTAAATTTTACTATATAATTTTAATAATTCATTTATTTTTATTAAAATGTTTTCAAGTCTTATCTGCTTGAGCCGTAGTAGCTCAGGGGATAGTGCTATCGCCTTCCAATGAGGTGAACCGAGTTCGAATCCCAGCGATGGCTGATCAATATGAATTCCGCATCCGGCTCGCACTGGCCACAATGCTGAAGTAAAATATCCACAGTGGTATGCGGACCATGGGTTAGATCCCTTTCCTGCTAAGTTAACCGTGAGAGGTTTTCGAGGTCTGCCTCTCCATGTAACGCAAATGCCGGTTAGTTCCATAAAAAGGTCCTCCGTCTTAGGAAAATCATGGAAGTAATAAATAAATAAAAAATAATGTAACTTGAGTAAAAAAACTTGCTAGTTGTTCATCAAAAATTATCTTATCAAAAGTTACTTTAGATTCCAACATCCCTCCCTCCCCTAAATTTTTTACCTCCACGACACTGATTTTTAGCCCAACAAGTTTTTTTTAGACTATTTTCAAGTTTACGGTTTTCCGAGAAAAATGTGCGACAAAGTAAATAAATTTTTTATAGATATCTCAACAGATAAAACTGAATTCCCGTGTGCATCTGATAAAACTAGTTTTTGATTCTATGAACCTCAAGCGTTTCAGAAATAACGTGATTATTGAAATGACACAGCAAAAAAAGAATTGTTATCTTACACATCGTAATTATCTGTTGCTTATTCTGAAAATAACGAGAAATTAACTATTCTCGAACACATGAATTAAGGGAACGATTTATATTATTTAATGTTAATTTTAGTATCCATTTAGGAAATTAACTACCCTCGAAAACACGAATTAAGGAAACGATCTATACTATTTAGTGTTAATTATAGTATCCATTTAGGAAGTTAACTCCTCTCGAAAACATGAACTGAAGGAACGATCTATATTATTTAATGTTAATTTTAGTATCCATTTAGGAAATTAATTACTCTCAAAAACATGAATTAAGGAAACGATCTACATTATTTAATGTTAATTTCAGTATCCATTTAATAAATTAACTACTCTCGAAAACATGAATTAAGGGTACGATCTATATTATTTAATGTTAATTTCAGTATCCATTTAGTAAATTAGCTACTCTCGAAAACATGAATTAAGGGAACGATCTATATTATTTAAGGTTAATTTTAGTATCCATTTAGGAAATTAATTACTCTCGAAAACACGAATTAAGAGAGCGAGAAGAATTATAGTGAAACACCGTTATAACGATAATTCACAATAGCAGATGATATTGTCATTGTAGTGCTAAAAAAAATTCGGGCATAGACCGAATTTAATGTTAATAAAATGAATAATTAATAATATGGAATAAGTCTATAGAAACATATTTAATGCTAAATTTAATATCCATTGAGGAACAAAAAATCGACACATTCCTTTTATTTTGAACCACCATTTTGTTTGAACCTTTTATAAGGCTATGGGAAGTATAGTTACCACCAACTTCATGAATTAATATGTCGTTGGGAAGCTATTTTCCCACCTATGATTCGTGTGCAGCCCTTTGCTGAGAACTTCAGATAATACAAGAAAAAGGGCTTTGTTTACATAAGTGTGGGTAACAGCAAAGGTTCGCGTGGGTTCAAGAAGAGAGGTCAACACTGGAGAGCTATTTTTTCTTAAGCGTTAAGCAATTGCACATATATTCATTTGTTGTAGTTAGAAATTTTTTTGTTTATAAGCGAAAAAGTTGATATAATTCAGTTCGCTTTACAAAACGTGAACATCAAATTTCTATGCGATAGAGCTTTTTTTTCGAAACAATTTTGTCCTCGCGTGTAGTGAAATTTTCAAGAATGTAAATGACCATTAACAATTAATTTTTTTTTAAAAATTTATTTACATAGCTGCTAAAATTATGCTCATATACCCCAAATAAGTATTTATTTTCAATTTAACCAGCATACATTGTTACATTGTCTATATATGATACTGTGAATGATCAAAATTGGTGGTTGTTGACTTCTACCCGTGAATGCTGATAATCACATAGTCGCTTCGGTAAATGTCCGAAGTATATACTAGGCCTAGTTAAGTTTCACTGCCTGGTACACATTTGCCCGGTATGCCCTACGTCAATGTTTTTTCAAGGTTCAGAGCCAATGCCCATTACTCCGAACACTAATATTTCTCCTAATATATCCTCAGTAAGTATTAAAATATCGAATAAATATAATTATATCAGCGAATAAATTAATATCAAATCGGATATAAGAAATATTTCGGACATTCACCAAAGCGACTATGTGATTGTTGACCTTCACTGTGGAAAGTCGACATTCTCTTGATTTTGGTCCTTCACGGAAACATATATACCACATCATGTTGGACAATTATAGAGAAATAAGAGTGGTTACAAGGGGGCAAATTGTAATATCAATAAATACAAAATATTGGAGCGTTGATTACCCTGCTTCACGTTACAATCTATATGTTTTCTCAGCTAATCGCCATCATTTTCCCCTAACATTAACATAAAATTTTTTATATTTTTAGAGGCCACATATATTGTGACAACCAGACTACTGACTACCGCATTACTTTAAGAGGAAAACCTCCAAGGGTTAGCTCGATGGCAAGAGTTTCCAACCCGGGACCCGATTACCTCTGATAGTATTACACTAGTGACACTATTAGGCTATTGCGTTACACGGGATTGAAAACCATGAAAACGTTTTATTGTTAGCCAAACTGTAAGGGGATTCTAACTCATAATTCCTCGACCACCTGGGCTATTTTATGTCAGCACTTTGGTAGTTACGGCACTACTTTCTATTATAATATGTGGTACAGTGGCCTACACCTAGATAATGATGATGATAATAATAATGATGGTTCATACAATATGATACCTTATATATTGTGTGGCATTATATAATAATTGAACTACATAATGCGTGATCCTATGAAATATGTGGCCAACACTTCAGGTAATTTTGCTTAAATAATATGAGAGTGCAATTTATAGCCTGTATAACATAAAACCTAACGAAAGGAAATAACGAGGTTATAACGAAAGGCTATAAACGAATTAGGGGCCCACATTTTGGCGTAATATTTAAGTATGAATGTATATATTTTAAGTGCATAAAATAGTGTTAAAAGTAGGAAGTTGTTGTTTGTATTCTGTGTAAATATATAACCCCATATCTCCCCTTAATATTAACCTATAATATTCAAACTCGGTCAGGGATTATCTTATAACATACTAAATTAGGACCATGCCAAAGGAAATATTTAAAGACACTCTACAATATGACACAGTATTTAAGTATGTATATATATATATTATGTGCGTAGAATAGTGTTAAAATTAAAAACATTTGTCTCTCTCTCTTTATGTTTGAAGAATCGCGGGGGATTACTTAAAAAGCTTGTTTTAAGTCATACAGCCAAGTGTGAACGGAACGGTTGGGTTAAGTGGTAGAAAGCAACACATTGCTATCCCCGAGGGTCCGGGGCTCGAACTACGGACATTGGTCAATACTTAAAAATTATATTTAATAGAAATAATATTTATTTATTTAATTTAGAATGTTCTAACTTCAATAAAACATCCCCTTATTTAAATTTATAGTTTTTGGCTTTACTAAGAGTGTAATATAATAAAAGTGTTAAAATGAAGAAGTTGTTTCTTNATTAGGGGGCCCACAATGTGGCAGAGTTAAAAATTAGGGTACACGGTACAATATGGTTCCTTTGAAGAATCGCGGGGGATTACTTAAAAAGCTTGTTTTAAATCATACAGCCAAGTGTGAACGGAATGGTTGGGTTAAGTGGTAGAAAGCAACACATTGCTACCCCCGAGGGTCCGGGGCTCGAACTACGGATATTGGTCAATACTTAAAAATTATATTTAATAGAAATAATATTTATTTATTTAATTTAGAATGTTCTAACTTCAATAAAATATCCCCTTATTTAAATTTATAGTTTTTGGCTTTACTAAGAGTGTAATATAATAAAAGTGTTAAAATGAAGAAGTTGTTTCTTACATACTGCATACATATATGGCCCTATATCTCCCCTTAATATTGACCGATAAATATGAAAACAAACAAAAGGGCCCAAAACCAAAGGAAAAAATAACTAAAATTTCTTTGTCCCCCCCCCCTCTGCTTCACTACTTCAGTAATGAGAAACCGAACTTTATGGAGGTATTAAATTTTTTTTCCTCATAATAGATATATAATAATAAAATTGACTAGAACCTAAAATAACTATTAAGTCTCCCCCCCCCCCCTNCCCCCCCCCCCCCCATCAATGGTCAGACGAAATAACGTCCTGTCCAATTTATTGATTTTCTAACAATTCTATGTCCATAATTAAGTGGATATAGCTAAAATTTGACAAAAATTTATTATTTTCTCTAAATTAACTGAATTAAAGAAGTACAAAACAGTCAAGAATAGGATAACTGATTGTTAACTTTATCATCTAGCTGCGAAAAATTCATATCCTTACTGACATTAGGGTGGCATTCAGCTAAAGTTTCGCAATTAAGATGGCTCAATTATACCAATCAGAAACCCGTACTTTTGTAAACGTATCGCATTTTGCGATATGTGAAAAAAAAAGGCTTTTGTTTAGCCAAATTTTTTCATCGTAATTGCGAAAATTTAGCTGAATTCCGCCCTAATATCCCATATTCCCCTTAATACTAACCTATAATATTCAAACTCGATAAGGGATTATTTTATAATAAGCTATACTACCAAAGTAAAGGAAAAAATTATAGACATATTAGAGGACCCACATTGTGGCACAAAATTTAAGTACGTGGGTATATATTTTTAAGTGCGTATAATAGTGTTAAAATGGAGATATTGTTGCTCATACATACTTGCATGTATTTATAAGACCACATAGCTCCCCTTAATACTGACCTATAAACTTCAAACTCAGTCAGCTATTATTTTATGGGTCTCTATCTTTTAAGGAATTGGTAACTAATTTTGAACCATAGTTTCTACTACAGAATGGCAACAAGGAAATGANATAAGATAATATATTACCATATTAAAAGAAATTATTGTCGACAATTTAGGGTACCCACTATGTGGCACAGTTAGAAATTAGGGGGCTTATATAGGGGGACAAATATGGTTAAATTGTAAATACGCTGGAAATTACTTAATCTTGTTTTAAGTCAAACAGCCAAGTGTGACCGGTAGGGTAAAATGGTAGGAAGCAATAAATTCCTAATGCCGAGGATTCAGAGTTCGAACTCCGGACATGGTAAATATACATATGCAATAAAATATTCCTTTATTTAATATTCCTTCAATAAAATATTCCTTTATTTAAAATTATAATTTTTTTCTCTTCTAAGTGAAATAAAGAAATTGTTTCTTATGGGTTTTCTTAAGCGGAGATATGAGGCATATATATATGGCCGCTTAATATTTACCTGTAATATTCAAACTCGGTAAGGTACTATTTTATAACATGCTATAATACCATACCGAAGGAAATAATTATTGACATATTAGAGGACCCACTGTGTGCCCCTATATTTAAGTATGTATGTGTATTTTCCAAGTGCGTATGCCAATATTAAAAGCCAATTTGGTATTTTACCATTTTGCCGGTGCGGGTGATAAAGTTGCTAATGCAAACTTGTGTTCAAAATCCCTATGAGTGCAAGTAAATTCAAATTTTTTAAATACATAAGTAGATAAATTAGTCGAAATCACTTGCGCCTGTGAAATGGAAAAGTATCGGCAAGTATTTCAACACTTACATCCAACATAGCCACAAATCTCCTCTAATGACAAGAATATAATAGATATTCTTGATCTTGAGAGTATTGCAAATATTCTTATCAATTTCTGTTCAAGAAAAGTTAGATATTTTGGCAAACTTAGTTTCATAACTCCCTCTCACATTTTTTTCGCCATTTGTGATCAAATTTCGCCAACCAAGCCCTTGGCGATCATTTATATATGACCAACAAAGTATAGGGTTGATATAAAGTCCAGTATTCAAGATAGTGCGGTCACGCTTCGTTCCTAATATCCAAAAGTCGGGCAGACATAGACAGTTTAAAGCGGTTTGTGTAATTATGGGATTATTTTTGATTTTGAACTAGAAAAATAAAGAAATTATTCTAGCCCAATGTTTGTTGACTTAGATAAAATATAATATTTCTAAGATGTTATTGTTACTAATTTTTTATTAATGTAATTCTATAATGCTCAACATTTTCTTATTTAATGCATCAAATATTTTTAGAAAACATTTTTGTTTATAGTCTTGCATACACTTTCCTACAAAAATATTGGTCTTTTAATGTCTTACGTAAGTTTAACTTCGTCTTTATATATAAATAATTTGTTTTGGTATTGTTTCATAATCCATATTAGAAATTTCCTGTCCTGTTAAATTTGTTATATGAATTCAATTTTAACATAATTACTTTTGATTACAAATGAGCTATGATGTTTGAACTGATCAACATTTTCAAAATTATAAAGTTTTTGATTGTTTTATATAACAGGGTTCCCATTGGTCAGGGAAAACCAAAAATCAGGGAAAGTTGCACTTTTTTTTGCTAATACCTGGAAAATAACCAATCTTAAAATTGTCAGTAACAGTAAACTGTTTGAGATTCAACTTAAGTAATTCTAACTTTTATTACAATTATTTATTGTTAAAATTTCATGCTTAAGTCAAACTGAAATGTTTCCATCCTCATTTATTGTAATTTTTTTACTCAGAAAATTCAATACTTTGCATTACAAATGAAAAAAAATCAAAGTTTCCTGATGAAAAATTTCATGGTATAGATAAAATATAGTTTGGAATATAGTGCAATTGAAATTTACCTGATATACCTGGAAAAGTCAGGGAATTTTTTTTTCTGAAATTGGATGGGAACCCTGATATAATTTCTTTAGTATTTCACCACAGTTAACATCCGTACCTTTTTTATACTTTAAAAACTATTTTAATAACTGCTATTATTATTATGTTACAATTAAATAAATAGTTAACAAGTTCAAAAATTGAATTTGTTAGAATTAATGTGAAAAAAGTGGAGTAGTTAAGTGGTAAATAGGGGAGATTTCTGTATCCTGATCTGTTTCAGAATAATCGCCAAGTCTTGGCAACTTCCGGGCAGCGGCTCGCGAGAAACTAAGAAAAAGGGACCAACTTGAATTGTATAACTCGTAGCCACCCTCGGGAAAACATCTACATGTTTTTTTTTTTTTTAAATTTGCAAGTTTAAATTCTATTTGGCGATTGTAGTTGGTGCAACTGATCACGATACGGAAATATCCCCTGTTAATATTTTCCATAATATTTCATTATATTTTTATTAATACTGGTTGAACTGAATAAAACTGCTGGTTTGGGGATATTTCCATATTGTGATATCTCGCTCCTATGGCATAATTCCTATTCCATAATGTGATCTGTCCTCCCACTCGTCAGTCCTGGGTACTGAATTCAGTCTTGAGAAAAATAAATGAACTAATAAATTCTTTTAAAATATTACATTTTAATGATAACATTATTTTACAGCTATTGCAAAATGATCTAATAATGATGACACGCTGAAATAGTTGTGCATAGTGAAAAATGCTAAGCGTGCATAATGAAAAAGTCATCTTTGAAATTACAAAGAACTTTTATTGAAAGAATATTACTTAGCTTAAACATCATATAACTTTTTGAGGAAAAAAAAAAAGCATAATCCATGAGAATACTCTACTCTCACAACATAAAACAGCTATAGTCACTCCATACATTCATATAAGTGAAACCTCAGTTAAGGGGACACTGCTGGGAACGAAAAAATGATCTGACTCTCAGTTCTTCTTACTCAATCCTTGTTCCTTGAATTTCGTAGTCTGGCAGAATGGTCTCAAGACTTTTATTTATCTTCCTTTTGTCAGTCTCACTAAATCCTAATTCTTAAAGTCTTGACAAATGGAATTGGTTGAACTTCAACATCTGTTCATGAAAGCAAAATTTGTAAGATTGCTGAATCTATATTTGCTTGAGTTTTCTTTCCTCTCCCCCCAACCTATTGACATGCTGGCCAAAGTTAAATCAAGATTATTAAAAAGAAATTATAGTGCTAGTACAAAAATAAATATTACTGAAGTGAAAAATAGAGATATGAATGGTTTCAGGAAAAGTTAGTCCTTCAGTAATAGGTGAAAGGAGATATACAAGGTTAGCTGTTTTTTTTTGTTGTTTTGTTTGCTAATAAAAAACCCATAAAGTAAAAAAAGGAATTTCTTTAGAAGAACTAAACGAATGATCGATTTAATATGTAGTCTATTATCAAGGAAAGGTGCATTTTTGTGTCAATGGACTATAAATTTCTAAAAGTCCGGTAAACAATGCTAGACACTATTATTTGGTCAAAAACTAAGTTAAATCTTAAACTTTTTTTCGAGGGGCACCCATGGATGGTTGCGCCAACTACAGTAGCCTAGGTGCCAAATAGATTTTTAAATTTGCACAAAAGAAAAAACCACATAGATGTTTGCCTGGGGGTGGGTATGAGTTATACCTTTCTAGTTGGTCCCTTTCTGTGATGTTTTCTTTAGTTTCCTGCGGGCCTGCTACCAGGAAGTTGCGAAGATTCAGCAACTATTCTGCCACAGGTTGCTGTACGGAAATCTCCCCGCTGCTTTTATAGTAGTATTTTTACATAATTTATTTTATAGATTTATTGTACTACTCTGAATCGGGATTACTTATAAATGTAATATTTCATTAGCAAAAATAAAAATATTTGGCTATTTAGTTAGTTACATATTCAGCCAAAATATTCTCAGAGGACCTTTACTCCAAGTGCTTTTTTTTTAAAAAAAAAAACTGTTTATGATCACAATTGTGTGTCTTATAAATATATGACCAAATAACTGTAAATATGTTATTGTAATATGTTTGTTATTAGTTCTCTTTAATCAGCAAAGTAATTTTTAAAAAAAATTTGTATTTTTTTCTTTTTCATTGAAAGAATAATTCAGGATGAGTTCAACTTGGGAAGCTGTGCCCCGTTTTTACAATCCTTTAAAAGCCGGTAGTATTGATGGTACCGACAACATTCCTCATGATCATGGTGTTGTTCGAGCCATGCAAGTAAGATTTCTCCTTATTATGTTCATCTATTTTTTTAATTTCCGTACTTTAACACAATTATATACCTATTGAGTGTTATTATAATTGTAATCTTGCAATTCTTTGTTGATAATTAAAGTTTATATTGACTTTTAACACAAATAGAAATCACGAAAATTTAGTCATCACGCTGGACCAGTACAGGGTTGCCCCAGCACCGGTTGAACTGGTAAAACACAGATAATGAAAAAGTCACAAAAAAAACTTGGAAAATACAGGAAATTTCCAATTTTTTTCTTAAAAACCTGGAAACTGTAGGATTTTTTTCCTTTTATAAAAAGCTGATGTTTTATTTTCTTTTAAAAAGAGCTGAGCTAAACATCGAATAAAATCGAGTGTAATTATAGCTCACATTGCGAAAGAAGAAAAAGTAGCTATGTCAGCATATTTAATTTTTTTTTGTTTAAAAATTGAGAACAATTTTTGTTTCTAGCTTTTCCTTTTTTAAAAACATTTGTTTTTATAAACCATTTTATTATTATGCGACAATTAAGAGGGCTTCTATTAGACGTTCTTCTTCTTTTTTTTTATAACAAAAATACAGAAATTGGAAGCTGAGATGTTTAGCCTTAAAACTTTCAAAACGCAAGATCGATTTTTATTTTTTCTTGTTTGCTTTTGTATATAATCTTTTTTATGGGTGTTTTTATGATAGCACTGTATTTTTATTTATTATGACGTTTTATGGATAACTTTTTTTCTGAAAAATATTATTTTTGGTATTGAAGTTTTGTTTTAAGAATAAAGAGAATATTTTTTCTATTTCCCTTTTTCTTTTTTCAATTTTACGACTTTAGTTATTTTAGTAGTAAGTAGTGGTTCCCCAAATTTTTTTTATTTCTTTTAAATAGTTCTAACTATTTTAATATCTAGTTTTCTTTGTCATGTTAAATTTTTCTAATGATTTCAATATCTAATTGTCTTTGTTATTTCAAATATTAACAATTCTAAATTATCAAAATTTAATGAGTTGAACTGAGGGACTATCCACAAGTATATAAAAGTAATTGAAGGTTTCTTAAATGTTCTAACTTATTTCTTAATTTAAAAATTTCATTATATTTTTCAGGCAGAGTATAAACCAAACAAATTGGTTGTTGGCCATCCAAAAGCTACTGTATTTGTTGGAAGATTGAATCCTAAAACTGATGAAAGTACACTGAAAAGAGTTAGTAATGCTTTATTTTGCTTGAACTTTATTTTATGTATTTATGATATTGGGCAGCGTAAATTTTATCCCAAGGTTTAAAAGAATAACTGTGCATGGAAACATCGTCGTAGGACGACTTAATATGAAAATGGGTGAATAAAAAATGGTTTCCTAATTGCCCCAATCTTCTTAGAAAATGTAACCAATTTGCACGTAATTTCAACGGGAAAAAATCCTTGAAACGCTTCCATATTATAATTTATGGCCAATAATATTTACTTTACATATTTCAAGTAAAGATGCATTTTATGTTTAAAAATTCATTGCCTAAATTTTTGAAGACGTTATTTACATTAATTAAATAATAGTAGAATAATTTGCATAAATGAATTTACGCAAATAAATTAAAAAATGTAATTAAATAATTTTCATAAATATAAAAATTTAATTCTATTATTTCATTGTGTATTGGAATAAATTTTTTGCCAAGCTAAGCAGTCCTGCAACAACACTTTTTTTGCGATATATGGCCATTGCAGGTCAATGCTCCATAATTTCCTATGGCATAATTGTGACAAAAAATTAGGAGGCTTATTTCAAATCAATTTTTTCAAGGAAAACCACTTTATTTGCAGGTATGGTAAAATAAAGCTATATTTAATATCATACAATGCTCCTTAACCTAGAAATTTCATGTGTTGATCAAAATATCACGTAAAGTTTTATTTTTCACTCACTCTTTCAAAATTATAAATAAGTGAATTTTTATAATGTTAACTACTGTATGCCCCAGCTTAAAGTTGCCTTTTCAAACCCCCAAATTTTGCAAAAATCAGGGCACCAACTTCTACACCAGTGATAAAGTTGGGCTTTCATTGTTTGTGAGATATTGCTTTATAATCATTAAGATAGATATGAATAGCTCTGTATCACTTAACTCCTTTCAAAAACTGTTTTCAATATGTTATCAACAAAAAATTTTATATTTTCTCTTAACATAATTTCTTTATGTGTAAGGATTTTCTTAGAAATAATGCTTCAAATTGCGTTCAGAAAAAATTAAGAATGAAAAAGGTTAAGATAAGAGTATTTGAGAGTATTCCGTAAAGTAGAACACCATTAAAAACTCCAAAATTCTCTATAAAGCTTCAAATTTAAAGATTCTTGGACGTCGTCTGTGTCACATTCAATAATATTGACATTGATACGGATCCCACTCGGCAATATATTCTACTCCATCCTCATCTCCCACAAAAAATAGTTTTCACCAATCATCGAAAGAAATTTTAACTCCACGCTTTTTAAAAAATTTTAAATTAAAATAGAAAGTAAAATTTTCATATTTGATTTTTTTCAAAGGTTGATTTATACGCCCGAAGTACTAGAAATTTGCTACAATTCTTAGATAAATACCCAAATTAACTTATTACTTTGACATTACTGTTCAATATTACCAATACTTTACATTCTTTATCTCTATGTATGAAGGGCGCAGAGCAAATGCATGATAAGCCACATTTTCAAAATGTTCACAAGAGCATTTTTTTACGAAAAAAAAAAACAATTTAAATCTAGGTAGTATGTTTGTTTTTTTTTATCTAGGGGAAATTTTGGAAACTTAACTATCTGGAATTATTGATAAAAAAATGAACAATTTGATATGAAAATGAAACTTTTTTTAAAATGATTCTGTATTATCACTATATTGTAATAAAGCTTTCATATTTTAAAAATTGTTATAAATAAAATTGAAATGTTTAAGGTGAGCATTAAAAGTCAGTTTACATTGTTTTCTTTTATATTGTTTTCCAGATGTTTTCTCGGTGTGGCGATATTAAAAGGTTCAGGTTGATTCGTGATATAGTCACAGGTTTTTCAAAAGGCTATGGATTTATAGAATATTATGACAAATACGATGCTATTAAAGCCGTGAGAGACTTCGATCATACCATCGTTGATGACAAAGAAATTCTAGTGGATTTAGAGTGTGAAAGAGTACTTACTGGATGGATACCTCGCAGATTAGGTATATAGTTATTTATTCATTGATTTGATTTATTGCAACGCACAGATGATTGTGTTCTGAAAAAGTCCTGGTTTCCGAATTTTTCGCTCACTGCGATCCGGAAATCCAAGGTCAAGAAGTTTCAATAAATCATCGATCACATTTATGTATAAAATTTCTTGTATGTTTTATTTAAAAATATTAGAATTAAAATTTATACTTGGCATCTCTTTCGTTTGTAAATATTTTTTCTGGTAGAATAATAAATGTGATTAGAGATAGAAGTAAGCTTATACAAAATTGTTGATTTAAATTATACTTCATATAATTTATTTAGAATTTCATGTTGTGAAAATATCTAATAATAATAATTAAAATTAATAATTTAAATTTATAAGGACATTAATTTTTTGAAATGCGTCGTTAATGATTTTACTCAAGAAATTTTCAGGATTTTCGAGTTTGGCTCATAATTACCCTTGGCAACATCATTTAGAAAATTTTTATGAAAGCTCTATTTTTTTTTCTTTATGGATCTTTTTGTTCATTTTTTCTAGTGGATCTTCTACAACAGTTCTCGTTTGTCTTCTTTGTAGCATATTTTATACCCCCTATTTTAATTTTCACTGGCAATATTTGATGTTTAATTTAAAAAATTTTAAAAGCGTGGCCAAATCTAGCGTGACACCAAAAGTAAAACTTGCAAAAACTTTTTATTTTTCAAGAACTAGTAAAACTGTTTCCTAATTGCCATCTAAATCATTTGCAATGTAAAAATCAATATTAAAAATAAAATTTATCTATTAAAAAGTAAATAATGGTATGTAATCATGTAATTAGTTTTTGAGGAATAATTTGAAAATAACTAGAGCATTTGGAAATCCCATCTTTTGATGGTTCTTTTATCTGGGTAGTATTTTCCAGATTGCTACAGATTCCCACTTTTATATTTTGAAAGTTCCATTGTGGAAAGGTACTTTTATTCAGAAAAGTATGTTTTTATCTTTGTAAATCCAATAATTGTTCATTACTGTATTAAATTGCAGTATGCTCTCGATATCTCAAATACCTTGTTGCGTCAAAAAATTATTTTTTCCCTTGGAATTATATATCCACCTAATTTAAATTTGAATTGCTCTGTCGAAGGGTTTCTTCTCAAAACCGTGTTATGTCAAATTTTTTTCTGAAAAATCGCACTGTTAGTTTATTGTAAACCAATTTTTTCCCTTTTTAATGCATAATTTTCTTCATCCTCACCTTTTAAAAATAAAATTATCATTGTTGTATTTTTAGGCTTATAGTCAACTATCATTACATACATTATTTAGTAATTATTCTTATACATATTTTGTGACTACTTTTTAGAGTAATATTTTAAAGTATATCTTTCTATTTTTTAGAACATATATAGTTCTAAACTCGCAATTTTTAGGGCCCCTTCAACTTTGAGATATCAAGAGTTTACTGTATTATTGAGTGATAACACTAATTACGATTTTTTGTAGCTTTCTATAACCCATTTAGATTACAGGTTAAGTGAAACTCTTATCATTAATTCAAAACTGTGTATTGTTTTGCTGTGTTTTTTTAGTTTTTTATTTTCTGAACTTTTTTACAGGTGGAGGACTGAGTGGGAAAAAGGAGTCAGGTCAGCTGAGATTTGGTGGCAAAGAGCGTCCATTTAAGAAGCCAATTTTACCTTTCAACTTGCAAGATAAGAGAAAATATTCAGATAGACATTCATCAAGAGATTCATCTGATAGACATAGCTCCTACAGGAAAAACAAACATTATTATTAAATTCAAAGAACATTGAAGATGGTTTTGTTATTGAATGAGAAAGAAAATTAGGCTGCTATGTTTATTTTTCTATGGTTTAAATGAATTTATGAGGAAATGTGAAGGTAACTTCAGTGGTTACTTACTAAAAACGTCACAAAAATTGTGCCAAGCGTCACAAACATTTATTTCTAACTCTGGCCTCTTGAGTTTACCAAATCTGAAATAAAAAATAAAATGTATTTTGTAATAAATTTGTTGTTCAAATTTTTTTTTAAATCTTTCTTTTTTAGAAAACACTAATTTTTTAAACCCCTTTTGTGTCCATAGGTTGGAATTAAAATTTTGACTTGTTTCCAATTAGTTGAAGCTCTTTTGTTTCCAACTGGTTTCATTCCTGATCTCAACAAGTAGAGTTGGGCCAAATGAATCATCATATTTATTCGAATGAATAGAATTAGTTCCCTTGGATGATTTAAATGAGTGAGTGGTTCGATAATGAAATTTTATTTTATAATCGGCATTGAAGAACCAGTTAATGACTTTTTTGAGTTAACGACTGCTAATGTACAACTCCATAGTCTTGTAATTTTGAACCCAATCCAGAAGACAAGGGAACTCCTGAACCAAGTATTGGGAGAAATTGGCCTAGTATTGGGACTTCATGAAGGACTTTTTGATGGAACTAGCCCTCATTTGCATTACATGGAAAGGAAGACCCCAAAAACATCCCACGGTTAGCTTGACAGCTAGGGGACTCTAACCATTGATCCATCTACCACTGAGGATATTTTTAATTCAGCACTGTTCTTTGTGCAAGCCGGATGCGGAATTCGTATCGACCAGCTATCACTGGGAATCGTACCTGCTTCACCTCATTGGAAGACGAACGTTCTATCCCCTGATCCACCACGGCTCTCTTCTGTATGATGTGGGCAACGCGACAGATGCCTACTGGGTAACGGTAAGAGAGGAGCTAATCTGGCATTTCTGAGGCCAATGGGAAGTAGACTCAAATGCCAGCCATTAAAAAAAAAACATTCTGTTTCGAGAAGGGGGCTGATCAGCAGATTGTAGGCTCTGCATTAAGTTTACTGACGGTAGAGATTTTGTTGTTGTTTCCTGTTTCAATTGATTCTTCTTTTAAATGTTTCTGAATTGTTTTTCTTTTTTTCTGAAAATGCTTTTTTTTTTTTTAAAGACAAAAAAGGATTATTTTTACTTTTCTTTTTTAATTCTTTCTAAACTGAGCGTTTTTTTTTCTTGAGCTATACTTTTACTTTTGATTGTTCTAATATCACATTTTATCATCAAAAATTTTTACGTTTTTACACTTAGCATATCTGCAATAGTTTTGTGACTTAGCAATTATTGATTTTTTAAAAATCAAAAACGGCACATTAGACAAATTACAGTGAAACACTCAGTGTGCGCTAAAATAACGCCATGATAGGATAGTAATTCAAATCAAGTGACTCAGATCACAGATTCGAATCATGATTTTGAATAGTGATTCAAGTCAAGGAATTCAGATCATTGATACAAACCAAATGATTTGGATCAATGATTCGAATCAAATTCATTTGGATCAATGATTCAATGTGATTTAAATCATGTGATTTGTATCATTGTTGGAATAAAGTAATTCAGTTCACTTTTCGAATTGAGCGATTTCAGATCAGTGATGCAAATCTAATGATTTGAATCAATGATTCAAGTCATGTGATTCAGATCATTGCTAGAATAAGGTGAATCAGATCACTTTTCGAGTCAAACGATTTCAGATCAGTGCTTGGAATGGTGCGATTCAGATTAAAGATTCAAATCATGGGATTCTAATAACTGATAGTTATAAAGTGATTCAGATCACTGTTTTGAATAATGAGATTCTGATCCCTTATTCGAATCATGTCTCATTTGAATTATTGATTCTTATGATATAGATCGGATCACTAACTCGCATCATGCGACTTGGATCACTATTCAGATCAGTGACTCGAATCATGCTACTCGGATCATTGTTTCGAATTTTATGATTTGAATAACTGATTCTTATGAAGTGACTCGGATTGCCGATTCACTATTCGAATCAAGTGATTCAAATTAATGTTTTAAACCACTATTTAAATCATGTGATTCGAGTCAAATGTTTCAGATCACTGATTTGAATCATGTGATTTTGATCACTTTTTGAATCAAATAATTCAGATCAGTGATTCAAACCATGCGATTTGAATCACTTTTCAAGTCAAATGATTCGAATCATGCCATTTCGAATCATGTGATAAGTATAAGTGATTCAGATCACTGTCGCGAAGTAGTATATATATGCGGGTCCTGGGCCACTTTCTCACACTTTCTCGCGCACGTTTAATAAAATCGTATAATTCAAAGAAAATTGATTAAAAAGGATTGAAAAACTTAATTTTTTATTAAATATATATAAAATTATAAAAACACCTTTTTCTTCTATTTTGGTCCTAGCACTTCCTCACGCACACCTTGGCGCACGCTCGCGCACGAGTCTACTTGTTGATTTAATTGTTTTTATATTAAAGTATATATGTATTTTCCATCAATTAATCCTTCATAATAAAATACATAACCACCTTCATTTATTTCTTGAATTGCTTTGTCCGAAAGTTCTCCATGTTTCTTTTTTAGAAAATATTCTTTCACTTCATTTAGTTCCACAGTTATTTTCACAACTACACTATCGCCATACTTTGTTTTTATTTTTCTCAATGATATCAGTTTATATTTCCCCGGCTTTAAATCTTTCAATTTGAATATCGGGCTGTCGCTTCTGAGACTATTGAATTCTTCCATTTATTAAGAAACATTTTCATAATGTCCTAATGCTCTTGTGTGAATTCCATCTTCTAATATGTATCTCTTATCATCTGATGCTGATAGAGATTTTTTATTTACTTGAACCGAAAATATGTTATGTTTAGTACTTCTAATTAAATTCATTGTTCGAAAATGATCGCTTTTATTAAATAAGCATTCTTTATAATCTTCGAAGGAGATTCTATTTTTAACCACACATTTTTTCACACCTTTAGATTTTTTAATTACTTTTTCTGATACTTTTAAGGCATACATTTTTGCTCTTAGTCCAATAAACTCAGTCATTATTTTACCAGAGTTTTCATCTTTCATTTTACCCAATACCTTCTTATTTATTCTTTCAAGGCCATATATATTATTTTCTTTATAATCTGATGTATCAAAATAATTAATCATACCTTTCATGTCATTATAAAAATCTGAAGTCCTGATATCATAAATATAGCTGTCTGTATCTTGATATAATAATGTAATATTTTCATTATATTTAGGTTTCATAACATCATAATGAAAGTCGTACATTAGATATTTAGATAAATCTAAAATACTCATTCCAACATAAATAGGTTTATCAAAGAGGACTTTGTTTTTGTTCATATGAATAGCAACTAAATTCTCTTCAAAAATGGTTCTTCCTTTAAAATTTGGTTTAGCAATGAGTTTTTGAGCCTTCTTTGCATTACAACACAGTTTTATATCTACTCTTTTTCTAATATTTTCCATAGTTTTTCCAAATACAGAATTATTCATCAGCTTATAGAAATCTTTTTCAAATTCATTAGTTGCTTTAGTCCTCATTTCAGTATTTTTATCTATATATTTCTTTAACCAATCAGATTGATTAAATTTTAATACTCTATGCACTTTTTTAAGTTTTAATCCCATTTTCAAACATTGTTTTAAATTTCTATAATGAATTACATAATTCTCTTTATCATATAAAGTTGTTAATAATTTACTTTGTTTTGAACCATCAGGTATTCTATTCTCAGGTGCTAAAGGTAAGTCAGAATGTTTATCATGTAATTCTTTAGGATATTCTAAATCGACTTCTAGTATGTAACCTTTTTCAGATATGTCAGAGGTTTCTAAAANGAAATAAAAATAAATATTGTTCTGAAAGAAAGAATGTTTGTACTTTGTAAACTTCAAATATTTTTTATAACATATTGTTTCATCAGACAAATCAAGAAAGGAGATAATTTCTGTAACCACACAGCGTTGATGCCATAAGCAAGTGCTTGTCGGACACAGGTCGAGTCAGCCCTGCCAGTAGACAAGACGTGCCATTTCTATTATGAATGTATTATTACACTTTGAATTAGACTATTAGTGTTCCTTTTTATTTATGAATTAACATTTATTATATTACACTGGCACTAAAATTAAAATATGTTTTCCAGAAACCAATTATAATAAAAATAAAAATTATCCAGCAATTTTTTGTTTTGCGGACCATTTGGCGCCCCTTTGTGAGTAGCGCCCGGGGCATGATGACCCCCCTTGCCCACCCCTCACTACGCCACTGCTCTCCAGTGCCAACTTAAGGTGGAATGGACTATAGAAATAAGTAATACAGATTACTGATTTGAAACAATTGGTTCAAATCACTTATTCAAATTATGTGCTTCAGATCACTGTTTCAAATCATGGGATTCGAATCACTTTCTGAATCCAGTGATTCGTATCATGCTAGCTTACATTCATTATTGCTTACATTCAGTCAACCATTTGTAACGATGATATCGATAATACGTTAACCAATGAAATTTGTCTTAGAGGTTGTCTTTGGTAGTCTTGGTTTGGTTGTTTTGGATTTGTCTTTGGTAGAGGTTGCTAAGGCTTAAAAAAAAAAAAAAGGCGAATAATTGTAACAAAAGAGACATTTTTCTTGTAAATATTGATGTCTGTTTTCCAGAAGAAGTATATAGCCGGAAACGTTTCGTTGCATGCATCAATCATCAATCCAGAAATAAAAATAAATAACAGAGCGTGGAAGGCAGCTAAGATGATTTTAGTTTGAATCTTTTTAAAATATAATCAGTTTGCCATAGTTCTACCAATTATTCTCTAAAAACTATTGTAGTAGATTCTTCATCGTCATATGACGTGTTGTGGTTAAATCAATCATAGGTATGATATTTTTCATGATCAATGATTTCNAACTTGATGAATCGATTCACAAAAAAGAGTTGATTGAAATATCGATTCGTTCGTTTTTCGCACATCACTAGTGTTGTGGTTAAATCAATCACTTGTTGTGTTAACATCACATCATTTAAGATTACTTTTTTTTCTTTTTACAATGTCTCAATCACTTATCGATATTTGCAGTATAAGGTATTTTGATTGTGACTATTGTGGGCTATTATTTGCCTAAAAATCTTATTTAATGCTGTTATTATTATAATTCAGTTCTAAATTCATTTTTATATTATGATAGTAGGTAGTTGTTAATTTGCTTTTTTAGGGCGATTTTACTTTTTTATATATAAGTTGCATTTAATCAAATTATTTGTTTTACTCCTTTCCATTAAAGTTTAGTTATGAATCAATGATTCATTTACTTAGAGGCGTATCTATCGCCTAAATCTACTGGCTCCTTTCCTAAAATATTTATATTCTCTCTTTCTTTTTACAATACGAAAAAAAAAGAAGCAGTATTTGACTCTTTTGGTAATATTTCATAAAGTATTCAAAAGTATTTTCATTGTATTTAGATAAGGATAGCCTCTGGAAATGCGCAAATCCTTTGGTGTGATCATTATAAAAAGCAATTTCCAAAATAAACATTCTAAGCACATTAAATTGATCAAATAATGATAGTAATAAAGTAATAACAAAAAATATAAGCGTAAAAATTTATAATGAAAACGTGAAATAAAAAGAATCAAAACAAAGTAAAAACCTCTATTTTTTTTATTAAAATTACACAACAATAACTATATTTATTTTTTATTACAAATACATAGCTTGCCTAGTCAAGTATTACACAATAAATATGATAAAATTTGCGGTTTTTGGCACAGAAGCTACCTTTTGGTAATAATATCGGGTTTGGCGAAAATGGTCGACGGGATAATCCCAAAGTACGAAAATGGTCAAAGGGATAATCTCTAAGTACCACTACAATCTATCTTTGACGAAGGAGGTAATACATGTTTAACACTACCATAAGCAGCTTGTCAAATGACAAGACAATATTTCAGTGCAGTTTGTTTAACTCTCTTAATGGTTAACTATTAATAATTTTTTTTTGTACTGGACTCTCGTTCATCGAAACAGAAGCTCAAATCCAGCTGGCTGAAGACTCTCCGTGTAGTATATGGTCACTGGTGCTCGTTAAATCTGTCAAGTCGCAAAGTCCTCCATGTTCCCATAACTATAACCTCTGGGGGTACTGAATTGGAAATTAATCATTCTCTGTTTCAGGTCAAAATTACGTTAATGAATGGATTTATGAATGGGTCTGCCCTATGAAGGGGTGTGACAAAAGTCGAATTCTTGGCCATAGATTTCACCCTTGCCTTAATGGCCTACGTGGACAACAATCAAGCCTATAGTCAAAATGTAAATATTTGCCTCAACTTTGTTCAAAATTTAAATAAATACTAGTTTTGAAGCATGCTTGTTTCTCTTCAAGCAGAACTTATTATGTAACAGAACCAGTTGTACCTTTTTTTATTTTGAGTGACAACAAAAGCAAATATTTACTAAGAAAACCAAACAGTTTGAAGGCTTCCCTCAATTCTAGTTATGTATTTACATATTTATTCTCTGCAAAGGCTTATTATAGGAAGCGATGAGAAGTCTCAGAAAAGAAATGTTGAAAAATATAAAAAAAAGGCGGTAAAATTGATGATTGTAGTTTGTAATGGGTTATTTCTAATTCTACCAACCACTTTATATTTTAAAATGTCCTTCCAAGAAGAATTACTAACCTAAGTCATATAATATATTATTATACATGTTTTGTACGTATAAAATTACTTTTTTTTGAAAAGAACTTTTCAAAGTAGCACTATTTTAATAATACCTTTTCTCCTTGTGATGTTGAAAGTAAAGGCATTAAAAATGGGCTTTCATTGTTTCACCATTAAATCTTGACCATCTTATTTTGTAATTGACCCTTTTTGAAATTTATGATTGCTTATAATCTCTTATCATTGCTAAAATTTTTTGTTCTTCTATTGGTATCAAATAGTAATTGAAATGACAATTATAAGCAAAATATTTTTTATTGGGTCATTGTTTAAAATATGTCACTGCTTGATATATTATTTCTCTTATATATTTTTAAAAATTTATTTGTTTACACATTGCTAATTCTTCAAAACAATTCAAATAGTTTCAGGAATTCATCAGGTATCATTCCGTTTTCAGGAACCTGAAAAAATTGCTGTTATTGATACCCATATTTAATTAATTATCATAGATACTAGTGTTATTGTTTGTTGGTTCTTTTATATTAGACATTTAATATACAGGGTATCTGTGCACCTAGAAAGTCACGGTTTTGAACAAAATTTGTCATGAAATGTCATGATTTTAACTATTTAAAAAAAAAATCATGGAAAGTCATAGATTTAGGTCACTGAAAAATCTAATTTTTAAAATGGAATTTACCCCTCTCCCTGAATTTCATAGTGTTCTGATGTTCCGAATATCTGAATTTATAACAAAATCCCCACTCATAGTCATATTTTAATAAAATATAAAATGTTTTTATCTTGTTCTTTAAAAATTATGGTGTTCCTCCAAAATATGACGGAAAGAACATCATTTCTAGAATGTATTATCTTTTAAACTTCTGTGACTTCAGAATTCTTTATTTATTTATTGTTTGTTTATTTTATTTTATCAATATAAATTCTAGCTGAAGCAAGCCAGTCATTGGTGAATTTTTTAAATTCAAAAATGAGAATAGAAAAATCAGGAGTATTTCTTTTCTTTCCACTGAACAAGAAAAGTATCTTTAGAATATAATTCTGCATAAAAAAAATAATTTAATTTTGTATTTTTTCCCCAACTATTTAATTTCTTCAACTCTTTCTTTACTCTGTTTTTTAAATTTAAAATCTATAAATATGAAGATGCAGTGTAAAACAGTTTTGGTATTATAATGCATCTTTAAATTTATTGTTGTATTTTTGCCAGAGTAAATAGTAACTTCGTTAAGTCATGGATTTGAAAATCTAAAATGTAACAGATACTCTGAACATATTGATTTAGGTACTGTGTTAGTAAGTTTTTGATGACACAGCTTAAAAAATTTCCATTTTTTAATAAGTACCTAAATATACAATTTTTTGGTTATTTTAAAAATTATTTCAGTGCTTTTTGTTTAACTCTGAAATTTTTTAATGTTATATATATATTTTTTCTTTTTCAGAGTAAGTTCTGTCTTAAACAAGAGTAAAGAATATGGGAAACAGAATATGATCAATAATTGCGACGATACATCCTGGAACTCCGATCAAGTAATTATTTTTTTGGTATTAACTTTAACACGTACAGTTAGTCACTAAACCATTATATTTCTATGAGTTTTGTGGCTACTTTTGATAGCTTTTTTTGTTACCTATAATAAATTTTTTTTTGTTGCAAAAATAACATAATAAAATATGTAAAACACAGGGATGCATAAGATATAGTTGTGGGCCTAAAGTGGTCTGCTACAAAAGTCTTTTGTCTTTACCCTTGAGTTGTCTAAATGATTAAAATATCAAGGTTGCCATTCCACGGCAAAAACCTGAAAAATACAGGGAATTTAAAAATCACTAAAATAATAGGGAAAATGCAGGGAATTTTGATTTTTTTTTCTTCACAAACTAGGAAAATGCAGAGAATTTTGTTTCTTATTTTCGTCTTTTAAAAAATGGCGACTACTCAATGAGTAATCTGTGGGATATTTAAGCATGATATACCAGCTATTCTATTTAAATTAAAATAGCATTATTTAAATATTTTCAGCTATATCTTTTTTCTCTTAAGTTTTTCCAGCAATTAAAACTAGTATAGTTTGTCCTATAGCTCATGCAAGAGTAATTGTGTTTCATCTTAATGTAGTGTGCATAATATGTATAGGGAATTTTTTTTCCAGATTTGAGTGGTTACCTTGAATATAAACATAAAAAATCCCTTTTTTTTTACTGTGATATTCAGTTACTGTTTAAGTTTGAATGTTTCGTAAAGTATTATATCTATTTCATTTTGCTAATTTTTATGACAATGGTTCCAGCATTTGTGATAAAATGTAATTTTTTTACAAGTTTGTACAAACAATGTGAAAGAAAGAAATTTATCAGAATTTAAAGGATAATAAAAATAAGAAATAATGTAATCATAATCATTACATTTATCTGATCTACTGTATCAAACAAAATTAGCCGCATATTAAGATCACATTCATCCTGAGGACATTTGGTTTTATCCGATGATTTTTTGAATTTATCTGATCCGATGATGACCAGTATGCATAGCTGCCAACTCTACTGGATTTTACCAGTTTCTCCTGGTTTACTGCTTAATAAAAATTCTCCTGGTTTTTGTACACTTTAACAAATTTCCTAAAATTGAGTGTGTTTTATATATAAAAAAAAATTTAAATAAATTTTTAAAATTTGCTCAGATTATTGCTTGCTTGAATATTTAAATAGGTATTACTAGTATATAATGAAGCTATCCTCATTTTTAGAAACATTTTAAAACTTTTTTGTTCTAAAATATTCAGTTTATTTTTATTCAGAACTCCCTTTTTAAATTAATTAAAAATTCTTTTAACTATTTTAGATGAGTTAAATGACTATTACTGTTAAAAATTTGGGTAAACATAATACATAACATTTCAGGCATATTTAATGTCAATTGGAAATGGAAAATATTGCAGTTTTTCTATTTTGCTGACTATAAAAATCCCTAAAATTCCCTATGTGTAAAGCATTTAATACAATATGCAAAAATTATCATAAAATCCATATTATTTTGTAAAATGTAATGGATTTTTTCCCATCCATGTTGACAGCTATGAGAATATCTACACTTAGGAAAACGAAAGATTTTAATCCTGAAATTTGAAAATAAAAGCAGAATTAGTTTCCACATATCTTTTCAATTTACATATGACATTTGGATTAAATATAAACTGAAGTTTATTTTACAGAAGTGTCTTAAAATATTAGCCTATTGCTGAATTAATAATGATGAATTTTATGTTGAAAATTGTTTGAAGCTGTATAAAAGTTTTTTGTAGCTTTCAATATTTCATCAAATGTCAAAGATATATTTGAATATATTTTGAATTTATCCCTGACATTTAAATCATTCCATTTAGGCTTAATGCAAGTTAACCCCTCAACGATTGGTTAATTTTCAAGAAAATGGTCATAAAAGTGCCAATTTTTTTAATACACATATTTGATTAGTGCTGACATCTAGTTAAAATAAATTAACTATCTACAATTACCTTTAAAATATTCCGCTATTGCCATCTGGGGTGTAAAATGAGAAATAAAATGTTTCCTGGACAAAAGAAATGAATTAGTTTTATTCTTACTGGCGCGTTAATACTGAACACTCCAGCCCGGGAATATCACATGAGCGAGAAATAGAGGGCTAAACCTCACCCCGTCATTTTCACGAAAACGAGAAGGAAGGGGTTAATTAATGTAAGGATAAAAATTCGATAAAGAAAAAGAAAATGAAGGAAATAAAAATGAAAATATGACCACCGAAGCCGACGTCTTCAGGGGGTACCGGCCCCAGTAGCCATAAAAACAAAACCATTTCTAATTTAGGGAGAAGCGAATGCTTAAATTAATTCCCTCAGTACCCCGATGGTTTTGCATAGAAGTCCAGGAAAAAAATATGCAATATAAATAACAAATTAAGAAAAGAAACTCAAACAAAATCATCAGAAAAATAAAAACTCCCATATTCACAGGTCAGACATCAATTTCTCAAGCAAGCCGAATGAAAAGAAAATACTAAAACATAAAGAAAACAACGCCCTCCATTACAATGCGCAAATGAAGAAAGAAAGTGAAAAATGTCAAGAGAAAGAAATACGTAATAAATTAATAGAATGCTTAACTGGGGCTGCTCAGTTAAGACTTGAATTGCGCCCTGTTAAAAGAAAAAAATATAAAAACCTAGAATTCTTCAATCATTTTTTTAATTAAAAAATTAACATTACAAAAATTAAAAGGAAAATCATTATTAATCAAATTATTTAAAAAACAATTCACAACTTCCCAAAAACTTTCAACATTATTGCAAATATTTTTGATTCTAACCAATTGTGAAAAAACTAAATTTTTAAATATTTTATTACACAAATTAGTATTAAAGTTGCAGAAAAAAATAACTTTAAATTTAAAAGCTTTTCTTTTATCAAAGACACCAATTTTAATAAAGTTGTTAACAATATCAATTTTAAAATCTAAATATTCAACATTAA